TCTGGTTTATCCAATCTCTTGAAAGGTTTCAATTTTACTTCTGGTTTCTCTTCTTCCGGTTTCTCTTTCTTTATTGGTTTCAAAGCAACCTCTTCCTTCGTTTCTTCTTCCTTGGGAAGACGTTTGACAGGTTTTAACGTGATCTCTTCCTTTTCTTCAGGCCTCTTACCGCGTTTAACTGGTTTTAGAGCAAGCGATTTGAAATCTTCGATCGTTTCCTCCTCCCTTTTCATTATTACTTTGTCTTCCACTATCTTTTCTTCTTCAGGTGCCTTCTCGACTGGTCTTTCTTCGTCTTTCTCGACAGGTTTCTCAGCTTCGGGTATTAAAGGCTTTTTTGGTTTCTGTTTTCGGCGCCAGGTCGCCTGTTCAACTTGTACTGGCTGTTCTTCTTCCGGTTTCTCTGGAATTTTTCGTGGAACCAGCGTCTCCTCTTCTTCTGGTTTCTCGCGTTTGAATGGTTTCAACTGCACCTTCTCTTGTTCTGGACCTTCCAGTTTGCGTCTCTCGAATGACTTCAATTCTGGCTTCTCGCGTTCCTCCTCTTCAGGCTTCGGTTTTTGGAATGGTTTCAATTTAACCTCTTCGGGTGCTTTCTCTTCAGGCTTACGTTTCGGAATGGGTTTCAGTTGTACCTCCTCCTTCTCTTCTTCTTCACGTGGAATGCGTTTTACAGGCTTCAGAGTCACTTCTTCCGGTTTCTCTTTCTCTTCGGGCGCGCGTTCCCGCCTGACCGGCTTCAGCATCACCGATTTAATATCTTCAACCGGTTCCTCCTTCTTCTCAAGAATTTTTCGCGGCACTTTCTTATCTCGAAGCCAAGGAACTTGCGTTGTTTCTGTTGGTTTTTCTTCTTCGGGCACCTCTTCGGGCTGCGCCTTTTCTGGAATTAATTCCGGTTTCTCTTCTTTCTTTTTCTTTCCCCGCACCCACGGAACGGGTACTTCTTCCTTCGCCTGCTTTTCAGTCGTTTTTTCAGTCTTTTCGAGATCGAGAAGAGTAGTGTCTTCCTCTTCTCGATAGGGCATCTTGTCGGTTGGTTTCTTCTTTCCCCTTGCCCAAGGTACTGGCACTTCCTTCTGTAGTTGCTTCTCTTCGACATCTTTCGTGACGTCGAGTATCGTTTTGTCTTCTTCTTCGTGATACGGAGCTTCTTCCTTCGGTTTCCTTCCTCTCCTCCAAATTGCTACTTTGTCGGTTTGTTTCTCTTCGATCTTTTCATCTTTGTCGATCCTTAGAAGCTTCGTATCTTCTTCTTCGACGAACTTCGTTTTATCGGTGACTTCCTTCAAGTCTACCGTCTCCAGAGTTTCTTTCTTTACTTCCTTTTTCTCTGTTTTGGTTGGTTTCAGTGTTATCTCTTCAAGAACTTCTTTCTGGACTTCCTTTTGCTCGACTTTCGCTCTCTTCAGAGTTACTCTTTCCTCGGTCCATGGTTTGGGTTCTGGTTTCTTCTCAACAACTTCGTCTTTCCGTTTGATCTTCTTGTCAACACGAAGAGTTTCGTCAGATGTTACTTGAAGAAGGGTCGTGTCATCTTCTTCTGTGTACACGTCTTTTCCTTTCGGTTTCTGTGGCTCTTCCTTCGGAAGAGGTTTCAAATCCACGCGTTCGAGGCTTGGTTTCCTTATTTCCGATTTCTCTGGTCTCGAAGGTTTCAATTCAACAGTCTCAAGCGCCTCCTTAGGAGTTTCCTTCTTCTCTGGCTTGGTCTTCTTCAGAGTTATCCTTTCTTCTGTCCAGGGTTTCTGTTGTTCGACTTTCTCAACTGAAATCGATTCCTTTCTCGTTTTCTTCACTTGTTCATCAGTAGAAACTTCGAGTAACGTTGTGTCTTCTTCTTCCACGTAATCAGTCTTCTGTGTTATCTCTTTCACAGTCGTCTCCTTACTTTCCTTCGTCAAAGATTTAAGATCCACTTTCTCTAAACTTGTCTTTCGCACTGGTAGCTTCTCGATTTTAGATGGCTTTAGTTCCACAGTCTCTATCGATTCCTTCTCAACTTCTTTCCTGATAGGTTTGGATTTCTTCAGGGTGATCTTTTCCTCTGTCCAAGGTTTAGCCTCCTCAAGTTTCTCCTCGACCTTCTCTTTAGTTGCTGTCTTCACTTTTTCGGTCCTGGACACGTCCAGCAACGACGTATCTTCCTGTTCGAGGTACTCAGTCTTTTGAGTTATGGTTTCATCGGTTACTTTCTCGGGCACTGTTTTGGGAACTGGTTTCAAATCCACCTGTTCCAGACTTGGTTTTCGAATTGGAGTTTTGCCAATCTTAGACGGTTTCAATTCGACAGTCTCTATCGATTCTTTTTCGACTTCTTTCCTGATAGGTTTGGATTTCTTCAGGCTGATCCTTTCCTCTGTCCAAGGTTTAGCCTCTTCAGGTTTCTCCTCAACCTTCTCTTTCGTGACTTTCTTCACTTCTTCAGTTTTGGACACGTCCAGCAACGACGTATCTTCTTGTTCGAGGTACTCAGTCTTTTGAGTGATGGTTTCGTCTGTAACTGTTTTGGAAACTGGTTTCAAATCCACCTGTTCCAGACTTGGTTTCCTAATTGAAGTTTTGCCAATTTTAGATGGTTTCAATTCGACAGTTTCTATCGATTCCTTTTCAACTTCTTTTCTGACAGGTTTGGATTTCTTCAGAGTTATCCTTTCCTCCGTCCAAGGCTTAGCCTGTTCAGTTTTCTCCTCGATTTTCTCTTTTCTCAGTTTCTTCACTTCTTCAGTCCTAGACACGTCCAACAACGATGTATCTTCTTGTTCAAGATACTCAGACTTTTGAGTAACTGTATCATCGGTTACTTTCTCCGTTACAGTCGTTGGAACTGGTTTCAAGTCCACCTGTTCCAGGCTCGATTTCCTGATCTCCTTCCTTTCAATTTTCGAAGGTTTCAATTCCACGGATTCTAAAGTTTCCTTTGGAATCTCTTTCTTTTCTGGCTTCGATTTTTTCAACGTAACCTTCTCTTCCGTCCAGGGCTTGGGCTCGTCCTTCTTCCTCTGAACGGATTCGTCCACTTTTCTAGAAGTCTTCAAGAACCTCGAGTCTTCTTCTTCAGTATAAATCTCGTCAGCGGTCTCTTCGCGACGAGTAACCTTGTCCTCTGTTCTAACATCCTTCGTTGTGTCTCTTGTGACAGGTTTCAAGTCGACAGCTTCGAGACTCGATCTTCTGATCTCTATCTTCTCAATTTTCGCTGGTCTTAATTCAACGTCTTCTAATTTTTCTTTCGGTATTTCCCGAGGTACCTGAGGTGTTTTCTTCAATACTACAGCTTCCTCGGTCCAAGGTTTCACTTGGCCCTCGGTAGCCTGCAGTTTGTCCAAAGAAGTGTCGCGAGACTTTGGTTTTCCTCTTCGCCATGGCGTTACATCGCCAGGTAGAGGTCGATGATGCACGCGTCCTTTCCTCCAAGGCAATGATTCATCTCCAAGTTTAAGCGGTATTTCGAGTGGCAATCCATTCTCATCCAAAGGCAACTGTTCTAGGACTATGTCCTTGCCGCCTGTTCCCGAACCTAACGATGGTTTCACGCCGGTTTTCGCTCCTGGTCCTGCTTCAACAGGAACTTCGTAATAACCTCCTTTCCTTTCTGTAATTGCATACGCATCAGAGTGATTTTACATTATTTTTCAGGCTGGCAATCGTCACACCGCAAAAAAAGCTTCAAAACGTGCTGTAGAATGCGGGAATTGGCGGCTTGTACGTAAAATTAATTGAGTAAATAATATTCGTAATTACTAAGACAAGCTTGGGGAAATTTTTAACTAAGATAATAGAAAAATTAAAAATACGAAAAATATATTAGGACATTTCATAAGTTCATGTTATTTATTGTTTTGCTATTTTAATTATAATGTGAAATATTCTCTTAAGTGTTGTGGAAAAATGTTACCACTAGACTTTGAATTTATAGCTGATCAATGAATATAATAAAGAAATAAATAAGAGAAAAATTTGTATAAAGCAGAAATGTTAAGCTAAAGCAGAAGTGTAATTTTAATACCACAACTATTATAAACCAGTTTGAAGTCTACGGCCTTATTCGTAAAATAGCAAGACTTACATAATTGGAAGTTATTTGTCTAAAACATGTGTTAATTTGTTGTACTCGAACATCAAAAACAATAGTCCCACGTATGTAGTATCTCAATGAGATGCCAAATGCGAACACTTTCCAGGGACGTATATTTTTAATAATTATTTATTAAAGATATATACTGTAATCCTATAGTTTTAGTTTATGAAACATTGCTAGATTAAACGAACTTTTAAGTAGAGTTTAATTAACTTAATTCTCAAATTACAATCTACACCAGGTCTGAAGAAGTTAAAATAATCCATCGTTGCCTCAAACACAAAAATACCTACAGTGGGTGTAGAATGTATTCGTACACCGATCAATTTCCTAAAAAACTTTTGTGTGGAATTGTAGTTTCTTTACTTCTTTTCTTACAATCAATGATATTTTACATATTCTCGAAAATCTCTAAGATAGATATAGTCCAAACAACATTTGATAGTTAATATAAAAATGCGAAAAGTCGGTAAAAGTATAGAAGCAATAAGTTTTTGTACAATTTTTATGACGAACCATTTATAGTAGAGTTTGTAACGTAAACACATTAGTTTATTGCTACGTCCGAATTAGAAAACATCAAATTTCTAGGAAAGTACTTTTACAGATGGCTCTAATAGTGAAATGGAAAAAGATCCCACTTCGAATAACTAATAATTCAGTTAATTTAATGCTTAGAAGATGATTATAATGATTATAAAATCAAAAGGAAATCCCACGAAGAAAGTATTATATACTTATAAATTAATGTAAATTTCTTTTTTTTTTTTTAAATTAACTCTTAAAAATTAAACAGTTGTGCGGTAATAACATATATATTAAATATATATAAATTAATGTTATTTAAATTAATGTAAATTTCTTTTTTTTTTTTAATGAAGTCTTAAAAATTAAACAGTTGTGCGAATACTTATTGCTTCAGTATTTTTATCGATTAATTGTCTTTTTCCTGTTAATTTCGCAACTTACATAAATAGCTATTTTTTTTCTTTGTACTCTATCTATTCTAGAGATTTCCGAGAATATGTAGGATGTCATTGTTTATAAAAAATAAGTTAATAAAGTACAATTTTACATAGTTTTTTTGGAAATTGATTGGTGTACGAATACTTTCTACACCCACTGTAGTTACATTTCTGATTACAACCAGCCAGTGCCCTACGCATCTACCATCTTCCTGCACCTAACAGAGCACATTTGCTACTTGCCCAGAGCTACCTTACGGACATCTGCGATTTGAGCCAGGGGACAAATTAAAATTTATTTCCGTAGATCAAAAACGGGAAATGATGCAGTAAGAAATGGGATGTCCCTTGGCGAACCACGCACGAGCGCATGTAAACAATGCATCATTTTCCAACGAGGAATTGTTTACAACAGACAGACCACTCAGCAGCTGATTGCTCATGAGCCGTCGAGAGCACAACAATATCTATGTACATTATAAATTTTCCTCTCCCACTTAAATACGTGTAAACGCACTTGAAAATTTATGTTTCGCAATTTTGGATGGAAGGTTTGTGGAGCCGGGCCAAATCAACCTTGCAAAAGAGAAATCAAGGCAAATCGCCAAATAGGTTGGCCTTCGGGAGCGATGGCAAATGATAACCTTAAACAAATATGACGATTTCTGTCAAAAATAAATTGCAGCCGATGTAATTACGTCAATTTCGGTGGATTCACAAATATTGTTCCTGTCGTATAGAAATAATATGTACTATTTTTAAATGACCATGGTAGAAAAACATTGGTTTGCTGTAATCGACGATTTAACACAGTAGTTTATTTAGAAGTTCATTTATCTTAATTTTCTTGTCATTTAAATTTTAGTAAACTACATTTTACATAATGTATTATTTAAACATTTTAATACACGAAGACAATGTTATTTGTTTTTAGCTGAAGATATCAAATTAGTTATAACATTTAGGTTTTGTTTGGTCTTTGAGCAATACAGAAGGGAATATATTTGTTTTGATTTCTCAATGTTTTGGCCCAATCGCGCAGGTTCCCTTCAGAAAACAAACAAGCTCTAACAAGAAACTAAAAATATAAAAGTGTTTGCAAAGACTTGGATATTAGCATAATAACATAATTAGTTAAGGTTATTTTTATAATACATATTTTCAATCATATAATTAATAAAGAAAATGTATTTTCTTGTGCAATTAAGCTGTTTTCTGGTTATTTCATTTTAGCTTATCCAAATTATTTTTCAATTTATTGTTATACCTTCTGTTGCTTTGTTGAACCACTTTCTTAGACATTTCGAAATTAATTATATTATTGTTCTGCTATGTATATCTCTCCAAACATTTTTATAGCTTTAGTTTTTTGTAAGAGATTCGGCTTTTAAAGAGGATTAATATTATTAGGACAGAAACAAAATTAAAATAAATAAAGTAGAAAAAGGATATACCTTGCCTTAACAATTTCTTAATTAATTAATTTTGATAGAGCAATTTTGCATTCCATCCCTATTATTCAAAGAATGTTTTGCGTTTCCTCATCCCCCTCTACCATTAAAGCATTATTGATCTTTGTCCTAATTTTTGCCATTATTGGGAAATTCATGGTTATCGTCGTTCATCTTGTGAAATTTGAAGAGAGCCCAAATCCTCAGGGTCGAAGACATTTATTGTTTGTCCGTTAAGACTAATAAGCGTATTAAATTTAGAAATGAAAACAATCGTGAGATCACAATTATTATTTTAATAATTTTCGTCCGAGATCGCGAAGGTTATTTATTTGGATGAATGATATTTCTCAATCGGGAGGAGATGACGTGGCATGGTAATTTTCATCTATATACGGTGAGACGGGATTAATCCAATCTCGGGTGTTGAAAGGCTTTGCGCAGATGTGTGCATTTCTTTCTTTCTTTTTTTTTTGTTTATTCTCAGCGGGAGGTTACGGGCGTAACATCAACGAAAGCGTTGAACACTCGTCTTAACCTCGCGTGACTTTATTTTTAAACACGACGAAAAACAGAAGATTCGTCATCAGGGGGGCAGAAACCAAAAGAAAATTTTCACCGTTGTGTTTTTTCAAATGTATTTTTAAATCTATCGCGTTAATCACCGCCTCCAAAGTATGTATAATACTGGAATGAAGGTACATTCTTATCCTTTGTACTATGGAATCTATTAAGACTTACAAACAACGATGCAATTTTATCTGATTATTAATAATACTTAGTATACAGATTTTTTATTAAACTTTTCAGACTACATTTTTATTTTTATGTTTTACGAACGTCTTTGATCGAGGATTTAGACACTTGTCTCTTAATGAATTTCTTTTATCATTCATATGAATATATACTTTGTATGAATTTTTATACATGTTTCCTATATAAATTACTATTTCTTTAAGATGTGTATAAATAAATGTGCAAAGTTTAAAAAGATATTATCGTTGGTATTTTGTTTTGAAATTCATAAAAAATCCCTTGAGTATTTTGTTGTTGGGGACATTCTTAATAAATAAATGTAGGATTATTGTAGCTGTATGCAATAAAACTGCTATCGTGGGATAGAATTATTCAAACAATTTGATATTCGAATATTTTGTAGGTATTCGAATACTATAAATAAATTCTGAATATTTGAATATAGTAGTATTCGAGGAATGTTAATCGACATCTAATATTCAAATTATAATATTCAATGATATTTGAATATTAATACTTAAATGGAAATATTGAAATAGTGCTAATAAAGTATTCGAATACTAATAGTTGAATAGTAAGATTTCAAAAATAATGTTCGAATAGTAATATCACAATAATGATAATTCGAGTGTAATTCAATAATGACAGTCGAATGGTCATATTTGAATAGTAATATTTAAATAACGATATTCGAATATTGGTATTTGAATGTTAATATTGAAATAATAATAATTAAACAGAGATATTTAAATATCAATATTCGAATGGTAATATTGGAATAATAATATTCGAACACAGATAATCAAGTACAGTGGGTGTAGAAAGTATTCGTACATCGATCAATTTCCAAAAAAACTATGTCAAATTGTAGTTTACTAACTTACTTTTTATAAACAATGACATCCTACATATTCTCGGAAATCTCTAGAATAGATAGAGTACAAAGAAAAAAAATAGCTATTTATGTAAGTTGCGAAATTAACAGGAAAAAGACAATTAATCGATAAAAATACTGAAGCAATAAGTATTCACACAACTGTTTAATTTTTAAGACTTCATTAAAAAAAAGAAGAAATTTACATTAATTTAAATAACATTAATTTATATATATTTAATATATATGTTATTACCGCACAACTGTTTAATTTTTAAGAGTTAATTTAAAAAAAAAAAAAGAAATTTACATTAATTTATAAGTATATAATACTTTCTTCGTGGGATTTCCTTTTGATTTTATAATCATTATAATCATCTTCTAAGCATTAAATTAACTGAATTATTAGTTATTCGAAGTGGGATCTTTTTCCATTTCACTATTAGAGCCATCTGTAAAAGTACTTTCCTAGAAATTTGATGTTTTCTAATTCGTACGTAGCAATAAACTAATGTGTTTACGTTACAAACTCTACTATAAATGGTTCGTCATAAGAATTGTACAAAAACTTATTGCTTCTATACTTTTACCGACTTTTCGCATTTTTTTGTTAATTTCACAAATTATATTAACTAGCAAATGTTGTTTGGACTATATCTATCTATATCTATCTTATAGATTTCCAAGATTATGTAATATATCATTGATTATAAAAAAAGAAGTTAAGAAACTACAATTTCCTCCAAATTTTTGGGGGAAATTGATCGGTGTACGAATACATTCTACACCCACTGTATAAATATTCAAACAGTATTATTCAAGTAATAGCATTCAAATACTGGTATCGAACTAGCGATAATCCAATAGAAACCTAAAATAGTGCCACTGGAATAGTGATATTGAATCAAAAATATTCAAAGTATTCTATTTGAATAATAATATTCCAATACCAATATCCAATTACACAAATATTAAAATTTCTAACCCATATCCTAATGCCCAGAAAATATTCCAAAGTCAAATAATTGAAATACTCTTATCCCTGGATCGACCACGAAAGTTCTCCAAAGCACATCCTCGGAGTCCTTCGTGATGGACGTTCTCCGTTGCGACGTGGAACGCGGAAGCCCCATCTAGCATTCCGCGAGCTTGCTATTAACCACGGGCAGGTCATTATTCTAGAGAACGAGGTGACGGCGGTGGTGGCCGTGTGGTAGTTTCCCACTCAAAATGCAAAAACCCGAACGACAGGGCGACGTGGGAGGGGGTAACGGTGATGCATGCACCGGGTAACCGAACGTCCCGACGCCGAAGAAACCGTGGTGGGGAAACTTGTGTCTGACGCCACACCACGCACACCTCTACCCCAAGCTTAGTCTAGCCTTAATAGTCATCCACTGGAAGCCGAAGACGAAGAGCGAGCTACGAGGACCAGTCTCGGGATAAAACGTGTTTCATCTCGCCCTGCCGCTTCGACTCTACTTCTTTCTACGATTTTCTCAGCGACACTGCTTTATTTCGTGCTACGGTCGCTCTTGTGAAGTGTTTGCGTCTTGGTCGTGCCAGTGAAACAAAGTGAAACAGTGTTGGTTGACAGTTGGGGCTGCCTTCGATCGGATCCGTTCGTTTGAAACTCGTTTCGAACCCGGTTCGATGGAAGTGCAGCCGCGTTTGAACTGGACACGTCCAACTTCTGAGCGGCACGGAGCGTCGCGAAGGTGGTGTTTCGATTCGTGCTCTTACGATGAGTTCTTCGCGGTGTCTACGGTGCGGAATTTCACGCAGAAAGCGATCAGTGACAGTTTCGCCGGGCAAAATTCAGCGTGGAATCTCGCGATTCGTGCGCAGGAGTGAATATATAGTTACTTTATAATTGTACAAAACGAGGGTTCGACGCAATTACGGTTTATAACAAGGTGCGATTGTTCACCGAGCTACGGGACCCCGTACGCAAATGTAACGCAATATCGTATGAGTAGAATTTCTTTTTTTAAGAGGAATGATTCATGTATTGTCTAGAACGTGGCGTTGTTTATTGTACTTGGTCCCGGTTACTCAGGTGTGCGTATGACACAGAAACTGTGATACACGTCGTTCTCGAGGATGACACACAAATTTTATTGGATGATTCACGGACGATTGGAGTGGTCATGTACAGAAATAAAAATAAAATCGCCAGACAACGTTTAGCCAAACGTGCTTGTCCCTGACCTTCTTCTTCCCCCTTTCAATTCTAATTTGTCCCAATTTTTCTCCTTTCAGGCACTGTTGTCTCCTTCATTTCTTCTTCTTCTTCTTCAGCTGCCAGTGATTCATGTGTTTTCGTTTGAACAATTAATTTAACGATGGGTGACTAATTACAATTATTATAAACGACATGCCCTCCAAGACTGTTTTTCGAATTTCGTGGGATTTGGGAATTACAATAATTGCAACAACTGTGTTCTGTTTCAAATAAATTGCATTTCGATGGCATTAATTTAATTGGGGTACAAATAAGATTGAAAATAGATTTTTGTACTCTTTGAAGTTTTTAAGAGGTTGTGTGGGAATAATTGAAATAGTAATACAGGAATGTTTACAAGGTGCAGAGAAATCCGTGAGTTCGAGGGGTACCCTTTATTGCATGAACTTTATTTAATTTATCAAGGAGAAATTATTTTTAGATTATTCATACATCTGTGAAGTATATAATTCTCACTCTGAACAGTAGTAAGGATTATTTTTATTAAATAAAATTATTATTACTAACAATGGCTAAATTTGTAGAAATATTGGATGAAATTATACAATTTTTTGAATGAAATTTACAAAAACGTTTTTATTTTTTGTCTTACATATGCAATAAAGGGTAAACGTGATACTCCAAGTAGAAATGGGCAAAATTTTCATCGAGGTACAAAATTTCGAATAAATAATTGAAGATAAACAATTCAGTTGCAATCTACATTATTATTGACTCGACCAGTAAAACTGCATCATCTAGTTGCAACTATTTACCTACTTAAAAATTGCACTGTTGTATTAATTCTACCCATAGACAGTATAATTCAAACGTCTCAAAGTATTACATTTTTGAAAAATAATTAAGAAAACTAATTTTTCAAAAACTATATAACGTAATAGAGTTGTTAATGACTCATCTAAAGACTCGATGCTACTATATGTAACTAATCTTTAACAGAATCTAATCATGGCTCGGATTGAGTAGAATTGATGTAAACAAAAATCTTAAAATATGAAATTCAGAAGAATAATAAATAAAACAAAGGATTGAACAAATGCGAATATATCGTTGTATTTTTCATTCGTCATTTGAGATTCGAATAAAATACTGCCCATGTCTGCTCGAGAGTTCCCTCGAAACTTGGTTTGCGCGGAGAGTCGAGCTGCGGATTTACCAGAAATAATTCCTTCCCGCCTTCCAGAGTGCGCTGACACGCGCTCCGCCGTATTATTTCTGGCATGGTTGAATCACTGGCAGCTGGGACGGCCGAAATAGTCGGCTTGGTCGGCCTGCTCCCTCCTGAGACTGACGAACGACGACGTCGACGAGTCTCGGTGGGGGTGGGTCTCGAGGATCGAAGACGAAGGTGAGCCACGGAAAAGAACCTCCGTCGGGATGAATCACCGCGTTCTTTTTCGATACCCCTTGACAGATGCTTCGGATCGCCGCTTGGCAGTTGTCTTCGTGGCTTCAGGTGGTCGTTTCTTCAAGGTCGTTGTCATCCCAACGTCGAGGAATCGAACGCCATTCCCTCGAATCGCGATACTCGATGTTTTCGTTACGAAATTAATATTGTACGTCCTCGAGTTACGCAGATTTATAGATCCCTATGTTTGCTATTTATGTATGCATACAGAGTGTGTATATATATCCATGTGTTCAGATATTAAATGCAGTAGAAGATCGATTATCGAAATTAAGGAGGAGGCAAAATATTTTTAAAGAATAAAGAATAAGTCTTACTTACAATGTATTTTGTTTATCGTAATATAAAATTAAATTGTTAAACTAAAATTTCCATGTTTGGTAAGTTTGGAAATAAACAAGATGCTTGGTACAATATAGATGTGTTGTGTTATTGATTAATAATTTTATCGTAAATGAAGTTTTATATATTAACATCTTTCTTGTTCCTGAATTTTGAGTACTCTTCAGAAAATCTACCAGTATATAATTTTCTTCGAAAATCATTAAACTCGTTTACGTCCAATTAATATTTTTTCTGAGTTTTCATGTAATTCCTAAAAAAATTGAAATTTGAACAGCTGCTATAAATTGTGTTCATTCAGTTACAATATCGAACAATTTAGAGTTAACGTTAGAGTGACCTATCTTGTTTCTTTCAATAATCAGTCTTCTCTTTAATCGACGTTCTACTGTTCAAGTTTAGATTTCTATGACAAAGGATTTGTTTAACTTTCACCCATTTTTGCAAGGAAGATTATTTATTAAATCTATTGTACGGAGAAAGAAAGATCAGTGTTGCAAGGAGATACAAACCATACAGACATTTCAATCAGCTTTTCTAAAGTCTGCAGTTAATCATTTTTGTAAGGACAAATTGCACGACTTTATCCCTTCCACTCATGATACTTTTTAACTCAGAAATAATCTTTCCTTCTTCCAACAATATATCGTATTAATCCAATCCACTTTACACAGAAATCTGTGCAAGTCGAGGACTCACTGTACCTTATTCTACAAGCTCCAATCTCCTAACTGTTACCTGACATATAATATTTAATTTAATATAAATAACATTAACGCCTAAATATTTATGCAAAATCAGTGTAACGTTATACTTTCACACATTGTATAATAGTTTGCATAATTCAATTAAATTTCTTGGCAGTTCGTGTAACGTATCTTAATTTAATTTTCTAACACACGATTTTATTATTATTCTGAAATGTAGTTAATAATATCCTAATACTACACTACCTTGACATTACTACATAGAAGTCTATTAAACTTTCTACGAAATGTTCTGTTTGTTTATCAATTTAACCTAAAGCACTTTACTGTTACAGAATCTGAGGCACCATCTTGATAGTCGACACTTCAGGTAACACGAATCGTGCAATGTCGATTGAAACTTCGCCTCTCATTCTGTCTAATCACTCTGGCATCTCGAAATCATTAGCCAGGACCAAGGAGGGTCGTAATCGCTTCAACGGTTTCGCTTAATAGATCCTGATCTCATACGGCAGGGATTGTACGCTTGAAATAAATTTAATAAGCCTCGAAGACAGATGGAACGACGATGTAAGTTTTCTTGGTTCCTACCCAGCCAGCCCCAATGCGACGTATCTTTATTTATGGCCAACGCGAACGTGCCAGGTGTTCTGATACATTCTTTCTTCTGCCACGATCTCGCAATTAACGCTTTGTTGATGGGGAGGCGTGCTGCTCGACAAAGGTGATCGACATACTAGTTATGATTCTCATTACAATTCGACCTACATTATACGAAATAATATACGGAGAATTGTATAACAGCTACATCGAATTGAGTACGTGCTCTAAAATAAATGAGATAGGTATCATTAGAAAGATAGTTGCCTGGAAATGGGTATTTTGGGAATTCCAAGTCATCCCCACTTTAAAAAGATAGATAGTACTTGTAGAAATTAATTCTGTGCGATTTTTGAATAAATTTATGATTTATTTATAAAGGAAAACCAACAAAAATAATTTTTAAGTTGATTTGTAATTTGTTAGAAGAATGACTATGGGTGAAATTTCAAATTGAGATAGTTTATATATTTAGATTCTTTGTAATGGAAATTAGACTGAGGACTTGGAAGGCTGTGGTAACGTATCAAATTCATGAGTAAATATTTCTATTTAAACCGTATTTTTATGTATGCGAATATAAAGGCACAGAATTAATTTCTAGGCTTAATAGATTCTTTTAAAATGATACACAGATCTATAACGATATTTATTTGAAGAAGGAGATTAAATAGAAAAGAAATGTAATGAAAGGTCAAAGAAAGTATTAATATAGTAACCGATGCAAAAGTTTCAGTTTAGTTGTGCTACTTTAGGTTAGAAAGGATTAAGATTCTACTACCAGTTCTAGTTGCTAGATAGCTAGATTGTTCAGGACAGAATCCAATTAAGATTTTGCGCGATGCTCGACAGAAAAGGGGTCGTATTGGCCTACGAAAACGTGCTTAATTACGACGACCCGATCCGTTCTACCCCCCTTTCGCAATTAATCAGACGAACGGCCGAGATTAACGCGCCGGATTCACGGTCTAATTTTGCGTTGGGTCGTAACGGTGTAGAATGATGAAGTACTGCAAGAAGCTACGAAGAGTGGCACTGATTGATGTTCACGATGTAAGAGAAATCTGTCATTATGTTCATAAATTGCCTTTTCGTTAAAGCATCGATATTAGTCACGAGTCCATGCTACACGAAATCTTGCTCGATAGTGAAGTAACCTTTCTCAAAAATTATTGATCAGTTTAAACTGAATTATTTAAATATTCGTCTAATATGTCTTTTTACATTTGTACATATTTTTCTATAGTTAATTGTCTATAATTTCACATAGCTTTGAAGTCATTATTTGCATTTTTGAAGTTTGATTCAATCCTACTATCGATATGTATTGATTGTGATTTTTGAACAATAGTGTTGTTTATAAACAAGCTATTTTATTTATTGAATAGCGTTTATATAAACTATAAATATGAATATTAAACGTCCTTATTGTGCACATAATTTCATTATATTTAAAATAAATATTTCGTCCTGTTCGGTATGACGATATATATACATAATTTACAAATATAAATGGAACAAGAAAAAAATAAAAGAAAGATCGTTAGTTTTTTTAAATATATTTTGTCTCAGTAAAATGTTAAATATAACATAATAATGCAAGACTGGATTTTAACGGTCTTGCAGAATAGGTTTTTTGCGAGGCAGTGGTACTGTTACCACGCATTGAAATCACTCGCGTGGCGTTCGTGTTAACCCTTTGCACTCCACTTGCCTGGCTACAACGTCGAACATAATATGCATCACATTTCAGTTTAAGTATTATTCATGGTAACACAAAGTAAGTCAATGAAATGAACGAATGAAAATTAAATTAAGAGCATTTATATATTTTTGTAGGAAAAATTCTCAGATTGCAAGGGTTAATGTCATGACTCACGATTTTATTAGACAATAATTAGCTACATTATTAATTTAAATTTTGTCATTTTTATAATGCGAGAAAAATTGTTATTTTAGCTCACACAAAACGTGTTCGTAATATTATTAATATTAAAAATTAATTTGAGTGGTACAAAATTATAACCATCAGTGAAATAATTTTTTCAGAATTACCAGTATGTTATTTTCCAGTCTATTCGTTATAGCGAACATTGTGTGTTATATCTTTCGTGCTCATTTTTTATATACAGTTGTTTTTAGGGACACAATAAAGACGCTAAATTAATAAATAAACTAAAATGTTTGAACTACTCATAATTTCAAAGGTAAGTTATTACATTTCAAAATCTTAAAATTATCTTTCCATTTATCTACATTAAATATCTTTTATTTTATTCCGTTTTAACCATTTTAGATTTTAATTCGTATTAATATACACTAGAAGGAAGTCTCGAAGTGTTCGAAAATGTTTGTTCGTCCAATTGTTTTGAAGTTACCAATGAATAAATCGGTTTCATCAACTGAAGAAATTGTAATTTTAAGTATAACGTAACACGAACGTCAACGATTCTCGTTGAGACACGTTGGGGAACGCTGGAACGTTGTCGTTCCGTTCGCGGAGCATCGAGTGCTCGTCGAAATGCGAGCACTTTTTATGTGCGCCAGTCACGCTGTAGCGTCCAAGATGATGGGCTTTTATTCTGCTTTCTCCACGCTAGAGAGCGTAGACGAGGAGAACGGTTGTCTAGTTTCAAAGTAGCCTGCTTGAAAATGATACCCTCCCCTGTTAGAGGCAGGGGGTCTAATAGGTAAAGAATCATGATCTATGTATAGAATAAAGTACCCTAATTTAATCTTCCACACCGTGAAATGTGGTAATCTAAACACGAACTCCTACGTGGAATACTAATTTCTATAAACACTCCAATTCCTACTTTGTAAAGAATATATACAGGTCTGTCTGTCGAATATACTATTCGACGTTTACAAACCATTTGGATTTGAATTTGAATTTTAGCGGTTTAAGATCTGGTTTTGTTAACTAATAATTCTTTTCCACATTGCAATATTTGTAAACGTGTGGAGTAAAATACAGAGTGATGGTGAAGTTATCTATTTATATCTAACAGGAAGATATTAATGTTAATTATTTAGACTACTTTATCATTTTCTAAATGAATTCGATATAATTCTCCTGTCTTTTATCAAAATAGATAATAGCAAATTGTTTCATATATAGTTTCATATATTAAGACCAATACAGTCAATAAATAAATAAATAATTCTTTTAAAGGAGTTTCTTTTAGTTAATTCTTTTAGTACATAGAAATAAATTAATAAATTAATTTTTAAACCAATCATCGAAGCTTTAACTTTACTTCTTTAATATAATTGTTAATTCCATGGCAACAGAATTATGTATCTTATCTTCACTATTATCTATTGGCAACGCAGTAATTACTATTTTTGACTTGACAAAGCAACGTAAACAAATAACAGGTGTCCCTGACAGAAGTGAAAAGTTCAGACATGAAATAATCATAGCGATCCGAGTGCATAAGTCTGCCAAAAGTTATAAATAATTTTGTTTCAATTTTGCAAATGAATATTAATATTTCACTTGTCATGTTCCTATTAATCTTAAATTCCTTAAGAATTGTTAACAAATGTGTCGATAATTGGGACATTGTACATGACAACGTTATTAATTTTCAAATATTATGTACAGATATGTTACTGTCAGGTCCGAAAGGATTATGTATTCACACGTCCAAAAGAATAATATAATAGCATTAATTAAAATTAGTTATCCTACAAGTACATCGAGTATTTAATCAAGTTACCAATAATCTCCAAGTAAAATTTAAAATGTCTACTTTATTTTTCACAAATCATCGAGCAAGAAACGAAAACACTGTTTTACATTTCACAGGCATAGATTGTATCGAATTTCTAAGCGTCGAAATTCTAAGCGACCGGCGGCGTGTTTCCGTGGAACATATTTATGGTAATCTTATTTATGCCTCGCGAATAAAACAAGAAAGTCCTCTCGTAGGAGTGCACGAGAGCCCAACGAAGAGACCCCACGTGAATTTACCGAGTCTTCGGGGAGTTCTGAACCGGCGGCGACCAAATATAGCTGGGTAATGTAATACACGTCACGTGGTCAGAAATAGCTTAAGAAGAGGGCCTAGCCGAGTCTGCACACGGCACTGCGTCCGTCCCTCGTTTTGAAACGATCCCGAGTACCAGAAGCGATTGAAGGAAATACGTTTACCTCTTCACGCTCGTTAAACCAGTTACCGAGAGAAAGGTGATACTCGGAACAGAAACGAACCATCGTAAAAGACGAGTATATACGTATATACATATATGCATATGTATATGTATAAACTCCACGGCACATGGAGGCCAGTGTGACGTCCGAAGAAAAAGAAAATGATTTTTCTCTGGCTTCTTTCAATCTCCTGGTTAAAAATACAAGTTCAGGAGTATTCATGGTCAAATCAATATATGTCTCATTATTATTTATTAGTGGTTATTCATGGACTTTCAGAGTAGTATGTTTGTAAAATTTGGAAGACTACTATGCAGATTTCAGGATGGTCTCAATGAGTATGACTGGTATGATTTACTTTATGGTGGTTTCGATTGTATATTTGCAGCTCCTTTTAGTTCAGAAGAAAGCTAAATTATACAATCTGACGTATCTGAAGGATTTGTTATATTTCCATGCCTTAGTTATAAAAGGTAACCTAATGATTATTAAAATACACGTCACTGAATTCGTCTCTATGTTATCCATAATTTTGGTTATGAAGACAAATTTTGATCCATTTTAAAGATGCGAAGAAAATGAAATTTCGAAAGATATACGGAATATAAAAAAAATTAAATAACTACGCGGTACCCTTCAAGTTATGCAGCATTTATTTGTACTGATATTTATTAAGTTTACCCTGTATATTTATAGTGAACTTAAACCAAAATATACACTGCAATAATTAAAATTTCAATGGACATCAACTTTTTTGGAAAATAACAGTTTAATAAAACAAAAATAGAAAACTTGATTAAATTATGAACTAACTAGTAGGCATAACAGTATTCCTAACGGTGCAGGTGATATTAAACATAATGGGCATTTTAATAGCCAATATCCTGCTATTGTACATACTCAATGAATTACCAATTTGTGATATTTTATTTTTCTAATCGTATTGTATTTTTGTTATACTGAATTCATACATTAAAGAAAAGTTTACGTCAATTGGAATCTTGATTAATACTCTATATATAATGTATATGATTCTTGAAATGTTGATTTATAATTTATATAATTAATTTTTAGAACCAACTTTAATGGGATCCTTAATTCTGAATATATATTCATCATAATATATTCAAAATAGTTCCAACAGTTAATTACATAAATTACAAGTCAACACTTAAAGTACTACGAATACTTCTACGACAATGTATTCACACGAAGCGAGTCAATGGCTTCATCAGTAAATAATAATAAAAACATTGTTTACGATGACCACGAATACCAATCAAAATCCTTATTTCAACCACCAACCCCCACACTAATACAATTTTTAAATTCAATGTCATCCTCGTCCAGACGATGGAATAGTTCCCAAAAACACGTGGATTTCTTCCACGTTTTCTTTCTCGATATTTCATTGTCACGCTAAAAGATAGTTCCTGGCATCGAGAATAGGCATGGTTACAAATACTTTCGTTACTTCTCGAGCAACCGACAGATATCGCGTTTTCTCGCGTTCTGTTATTTTAGCCGCGATAAATCTGCCAAAACGATTGCAATGGGATCGCTGGTTCCCCGTCAGACTTGACGTCTTATTGTTTGATCGATCGTTAGGCTGATTAGGAATCCCGCACCCGTGTAACCCAAGACTATTTTTGTTCCTTCGTCGCGAAGTCCCACCCCGGGTTTCATATTATTTTCGGGGTGGCGGACGCGCGTCGCGAATTGTTTTACGAGGCGCGAGGTACGTGAGTCACGAGCCACGTTCCGCTTCGATTCCGTGGTATACGTTTCGTAAGCAAAACATAAGAGAATTTATGGCAACGTGAGCATACTAGCTGGAATTGCTACTTTATATCTGCGGTTTGCGCGCTATTCGTCGAATCTTAACGGTTCACCTTCATCGAGATCGGTTAAAAATAAAGGGTTTCCAGGATGGCGTTTCAACATTTTGCTTTTTGATAACATAGCCTGTTTACTTTTCATGGCAGTGGGTGGCCGTCTAAACGACATAGTGTCTAACTTTTATTTACAATAGAAACTAGGATATACTCAGAGTTAGACACGAATGACGTTAAGAATAATAAGAAATTAACGTTTCAGTAGATTTGAACTTCGTCATTGTAACTTGTTTTGTAGGGTAAGACTGTGGAATTCAGTTATTTTTATTCTTAATTTTATTTATGAATGAAGTTCGTCCTACTCTGGATATAATTCATAACATTTTAGTTTTATAAAAAAACAAAATCCTAGAATTCATTTTGGAAAGTACTTTACTTAATAATATAACATAAATATAATATTTCGCATGTAGGTATCTTAATATTTTCATCAATTTAGTATTGGTAGTTTTTGAATTTTATTTCTTTTAAAGTTCTTGATTTAACACTGGGTAGCATCAAAATGTCTACCTAAACAGATTAGGGCTAGAACTTTAGAGGGTAGTTGTAACGATGTTAAAAATTGAACAAATTTCGAGATTTTTTTAACCCATTCAATAATCATTAAAAAATAAAAAAATGGGAAAAAGAACACATTCTTTTTATGAACGAATTTTATTTACTGAGCATATATATCCCTCATAAAAGCCATTTCGGGCCCAAAATAAGACTGAAAGTTGATATCTACTGATTAATTTTTATAAAATTAACCCTAATAGAAATATGTGAAAATAAAATTAAAACAACTCGTGTACACTGTACAAAAATTTACACAGGGTTGCCCATCTGTAATCTGCGCTTCTACATAGCAGAAATCGTATTTATTTTCACTCGAATATATTCAGGAGTGGTCTTTTCTGCAGGTAAAATTTCTCGTGCTAGTTATTATATTTACGAAGACGCTATATCAATTTATTTATATAATTTAATTTTCCCTGCCAAGAAATTTGTATTTTGTGCTTTTCGATTTTCCTTTCCGCATTATGCAAACAAATAATGTACAAACATGCAAGTTTCATAGAAGCATATAGATCTATAATATATATATCCAGTTGATACTTGATCCTTTGATATACGCAAATACCATTTTGTATTTCGAGATTAGAAACTCGCTTAGAAACTATTTCCTTAATTAATCGAACCTGACGATGTATCGTGTAAGATCGTCGAATCGACAACAAACGAGCCTTGTACGTACTTAAAACATTCGTTTTTATTGGCCTTTCCATTGTACAATAATAAATAATCAATTAGTAGAATGTTAAAAGGTATCTGCGTGTGTATATTTGTGTAACTATAAATTTTTTCGTCGGTGTGACTAACTGTAAATCGTGTCTGGAGTAATGTATACACTTATATTTATATATATTATGTATTTTGTAAGATAAATATATAATTCTTTATAATGAACATCGACACTAAATCGAACGAGTAAACGAGTCACGTGTTCGTATATTGGCGATGCTTTGACGTTACGCTTGGTTTACTGACAATTCTCTTCCCTCTCGCGATTATTCGCGATTCTCGCGTGAAACGAACGATCGCGGTCGTCGATCGTTCGTCAATTCTCTCGATTTGAACTTATGTACAACAATGGAATCGAAAGAAATTCATCGAAACGTCCCGACTCGAAGCACCACGTCGGATATTTCAAATTTTCAACGACAAATTCGACGCTGGTGAACGTCGCCCGGACGGGTCTCGCTCGTGATTTGCACCTTTGGATGGAAAGTTTACCTCGTCCGTGCCACGTTCGATTAGGGCTGCGGCTACTCGATGAATTCAGTATTCGAACATTTTATGGGTATTCGAATACTACGAAAAAAGTTTGGATGGTGCTGTTTGAATATTACTATTCGAATATTACTTTTGTATATCACTTTGAACAGTAGAATGCGAATATTATTCTTTGAACATTAATATTCAACTATTGTTTTTCAGATAATGCTGTTTGAATAGTACTATACGTATATCACTTTTTGAATATTAATATTTCATTTTCATTTTTTAGATAATGCTGTATGCTAATATCTATTCGAATATCTTTTTATCCATATCATTATTCTAGTATTACTATTTGATTATTACTAGATTAATATTAAGATTATAATATCATTTTTTGAACATTACTGGTTGAATATCATATTTGAATATTATTATTTGAACATTACTTAACGAATACCATTTTTTTAATATCACTATTTAAATATCATTTTATAAATAATGCTACTCGAGTATTATTTGTATATTACTATTTCAATACAAATATTCTTATATCATTTTCTGAACATTGCTATTTGGATAGCATTTCTGAATATTACTAATTGAGCCGTACTATACGAATATCATTTCTCTACTCTTATTATGTAATTATCATCATTTAAATATTGCTACATGAATATTATTATTCCAATACCATTTTATCAGTATTATTATTCCAAATCCTGTCACTTTTTGAACATTACTCTTCGAATACAAATAATTCTTTCAATATTACCATTCGAATACGAGTAATATTATAAATATTACTAGTCGAATATCATATTTAGAATATATATTTCCAGCTAAATATTCGAAAAACATTCAGACAGTTATTTGACGTATATTCCCCAAACATTTGAGTAATTCGATAGTTCGAATACAGAAAAATTAAGAAGTCACAACCCTACTTTGGCAGTCGAATTTCGAGCAACGCTTCGATTCGTTTTACTTTTACGTTCCCGTTCTCGCGAAACGCCTCAAACACGTTTCCTCCGCAACGTTTAGCACCACCTTCGCGACACTTGCCGCGTTTTCAATTCCCTGCAGTATTTCCATATACTTTTTCCTTTCTTTGTCCCTCTTAGACCCGAGAGGTCCACTCTACTTACGTCTCGTTTCACTCGCTCGTCTACTTTTAAACACGACGAGTTAGTACAAACTCCCCGGGGGGTCGTTCGAGACTTTAATTATTGAGGGGTGGGGGAGATACATTGTAGAAAAAAAATGGTAACAGTTCGCTTGGTGGGTTAGGGTTCTTTTTTAGAGAAAACAACAAAAAAAGCGGAAAAAAAATAAAAATACGCACGGGCCTCCAATGGATCGTGTTCGACAGAAAAATGCGCGCTGTCAAGACAATTTATTTTTCAATTTATAGTTTCATTGTATACCATGTGAAATACGAGGAAAAGGGCTCTGAAGCTCCAACTGATTAAAAATGAATAATTTATCATTCTTGGGGCTGAGATCCTCGTATTTTTGAATCTTCGAATTTTTCTTTCATTTTTATAAGTCTCCCTCTTTTGATCTTTTCCATATTCGACACTGATCGTATATTAATATTTAAGAAATATTTATTATCGCTGTTTTGTTTTGAATCTAAGAAATCCATATTAGATTCTTGTTTTATTTTGTATTTTATTTTTATTTCGAAAATTGTCTCGAGCATGCTCGCATTTTTCTGTTAGTTACTAGAGGCTTGTTCCGTCGATTCAATCGCGCTTCGTGTTAGCAATTGAACGTGTATCTTTTATTCAATTCTTACTTTTGACGATGAGTTTGGCGGAGGTTTCTACGGTGCCAGCCGAGGTGGTGGCCCGACAGGTGAAGGTGCCAGTGTCCTCTTCGTAGGTAGTCGCTATGAGCAGCACAGCGTTGTTGCCCTCATGAATCATCTGGATTCAACACATTCAAAAGTGTCGTTTCAGTTCGACGACTATTCGATTTGACATTTCACGTATAATGCAAGTATTTTTTTCTTTTAAAAGGAGGGTGAAATACAACAATTTATTTGCAATATAAATATGTACAAATATGGTAGATTGGGTACTGATATCTCCACTACTTGTGAGCTTAGTTATCCATGTTTCTACTTCTAAAATACTTTTATTTGTATTTACATCTTGATGGTAACAAGTTATTTGAGATGCGTAGATTCTGTAGTTTGTAGAAATTGTTTCTACTTTCTGAATTTATTACTTTTCTTATTTTTGTAGGGGTATAATTAAATAAATTAAATAACTCTTTTCTTTTTATACAATGTAAATAGATCCATGCGATATCAACAAGTTCTTATTTAACGTTTTCAGTGTTTGGTTTGAAGCTAAATAAAATATTTTGTAATTGTGTTTGTGCATTCTGTTTGAATCAAAAACGCTTGTTTGTATCATGAAAGATAATATTGTTTCAGTTTGACGTGTGTAGTTCTTTTTAGTACAATATAGTACATTAAAATCAAGATTCTATTTAATCAAATAAAAGTTACATGTAATAAAACAATGCAACAAGTTAATAAACAAATATATGCTACAAATAAATTCTTTACTCTATTTCACTTTTTCTAAAAAAAAAAGAAAAGTATATATACGTATAAGTATATATACGAACAGGGCATGTATGTACGTATATGGTTCGAGCTTCGACTCACCTGGAAATCAGGCGACTGGGGTATCAGGGCACCTTCACGATACCATTGGATCGTTGGCTTTGGTTTCGCTGGACTGACTTGAGTTTTAAATTGAGCTGGTTGTCCCTCGAGGACTATCTGATCCTTCAGAGGCGTCACTTTGGGCAGGGCATCGGCTGCGTCTGGAGCTGATAAGAAACATTCCAAATTTACTGATCGATTTAGAAAGTTGAACTGGATACACAAGTTTAATAATTTATTCCAGTCATATTTCGTCTAAATGTAATCTTTACTAATAAAAACCGATTCGAACATTTTCGATTAATTCTTAAGACTTCTATAATATTTACAATGTTAATGAAATATAAATGATAAAAATATAAATCATAAAGAGGATCGCTAATATTTGAAGGTTTCTACAAATAATTTGCTTAATATAGAGGAATTTTATATATAATGAAGACCGTATAAAGTTGTAAATATAAATTAGAAATGAAAAATAATTGTGTGGCCAATGGAACTAAAAACTGAGAGAGATTATAAATATTTCATAAACATTGTACACATTACTGAAGGGTGCTAAAAAGTTAACCAAATATGTTCTATTTAATTATTACTTCTAAAGACTAGATTCAAACAGAATGTAGTTTTATATTTAAAGGAATATTCTAATTTTATTTATGTTAATTCTTACCAAGAACTCTGAGATTGGCTGATGTGGTCACGTCGCCAGCTGGGTTCTTGGCGATGCATTTGTAAACACCCTCGTCTTCGGGGAAGGCTTCAGAGATCCTCAAGGTGCAAAGATCACCTTCCTTTTGCATTTGGAAGTATTTCGACGGTTTGATTACCTGCAGTGATGAATTAATGAATAGAATGATTACGTTTTTAAAAATCAACATGTAATATATGCCACCTAGAATATTACTCGTGTTGATGGTAATATTTGTGAGAGGACTACGTTTACTTGTTGAAATAAATTGCATAGAATTTTACATTTGAGTTTCATATTCATTTAAATGATACGAAATCGAAATTTAATATTATTAATCAAAATATCAGCAATACTTTGTATATGACATAAGATAATGAACTTGCAAATATATACGAATTTTTTGTGTCTATCTTCGTTGTTTAGCAATACTAACTTAATGTTTACATCTTATGAAAGTATTATACGACTTGTAGAAACATGTAAATGTAGTAAAAATTAAGCCAAACATTTTCAATATTTGAATTTAATATTTAAAGCGGGTTACTGAACAATATTGTATATGAATATACTATGTGTATGGGATTTGTTGCAATTTGCTGGAATATATGTTCATACCTTGTCGCCTTTCTTCCATTGGACCGTAGGTACCGGTTTTCCAGTGATCCTGCACGCAAAAGCAACGGAAGTTCCCTCTCTGATAGTTTGATCTTTCAGCGGCTCTACAACCGCAGGAGCCTTTTCGACGCCAGGCGTCGTCGGTTTCGCCGTCTTCGCAGGTGATTGAGGTCCTCGAACAGTGCATTCGCCGTCGCAACGAGCCTCTCCAGCGCTGTTCAATGCGACGCACTCGTATTTTCCAGAATCTTCCGGCACTGTCTCCAGGATCAGCAAGGTATAAGTGTTGTCCTCCTCGAGTGTCTTGTAACGAATGTCTGCTGTCACTTTCTTGCCGTTCTGTAATCGTACACAAACAAATAGAATGATTAATTGGAAGTGTATAATGCATTGTACATGACAAGAATAGAGAAACGTGTGTGAAATGTAGTAAGGAAAATTAAAATGATAGTAGTGTTCATCAAGTTGTTACATATTTTGTTTTTTAGAATGTCACAAATTTCACACTTTATTACTTATTTGATGTTATCGATAATGGTGCGATCAAATTTTGTCTACCTATCTTTTAAGTTGTTACACGATCAGGGGTGAATTGTAACAATTTGAAGAACATTAACCTTTTAAGCTACGATTTAAGTTCCAACAGCTTGGGACTAAAATGTGAAGTTTACATTTGGACCGAATATCCGACCACGAGTCTCACACGTGGTTATAGCTTAAGGGATTAATGGATTTGAAAAGAGAAAAATAAATATGACTATAATTGAGGAATAAACAGATTAAAAATATTATGTAGGTATCAGAGATAGGAAAGAAGCAAATAATCTGAATAAAGTTAATTTAGTATTGAAGTGGAGTATAAGACATTAAGCATAAATCATGGTAAACAAATGAAGTAATAAAGGAAGTGGTACCTGATCAGAGGGGAATAAATGAAGTACACATCGAGAAAATAAATAAAAGAAGCCTAGATATAAAAGATGATGAGAAAATATAAACTCTGAGTAGAATGGTGCAACAGATAGCAAAGACACAAAGTACTTGAATCTATAATAATTGTAACTAATCAAGGAAATAACTACCTTCAGCCAGTAAACATCCAGAGGCTTGGTTCCGGTCACTTTAGCGTCAAATCTCGCCAATTGTCCAGTGGTCACGGTGGTGCTCTGAATGGTCGACAGGAAACTCGGTGGCACCACTCCTCCTCTTCCAGGCTGTCTCCTGCGCTCTTCAACGACCAGATTAGCACTGCATTTGGCCTTTCCACCCCGATTCTCAGCGATCACGGAGAAAACACCCGAATCCTCCATGAACACCTGTCGAACGATTAGCACCGACTTCGTGCTGAAGGTGTAAATCTGAAGGTCTGGCGAGTTCTGAATGGGGAAGTCCTCGCGGTACCATTTGATGGTCGGAAGTGGATCGCCGTCGAACTCGACTTCGAAACGCGCCTGTTCCTGCTCAAATGCTCTGCAAGGTTGAATCTTCTTCGTGAAGACTGGTGGTTTCGCTGGCTTGGTCTGGCCCTGAACAACGCGCTCTTGGGTCTTGGCTTTGTGTTCCACCTCGGTGGTTTCTGTGGCGGTTATTTTTCGAGTGATCTCCAGGTCGCCTTTGACCTCTTTCTGGGTCTGCTTCTGCTTGGCCACGTGCACCTCGCGACCGTGAACCGTGGACTCCGACGGCTCTGGAGGATACTTTCCTGAGGCTTTCGCGCGTTCCACGTCGATGTCCACTTCTGTTGTGAAGGGTCTCTTCACGTATTTGGTTGTTGCTTGCTGCGTCTCCTCGTCGTCTCTCTTTTCTTCCCTGAAGAGTAACGATTGGTTTGGTTACTAAATATTGTGAATTCATTTCATATATTTCGTAGGTAGCACTATCGAAGATTATTTAATCTTTTTAAATTTCTTTTCTGTGGCATTATTACACAATGCTCAGTATAAATACGTATTAGGTACTGAAATTAATCCTGTGCCTTTACATTTACTTTTAGGAAAAATATGTAATTCTTCCTTCGTGGGATTTCCTTTTGATTTTATAATTATTGTAACTTTTCTAAGCATTAAACGAAGTAAATTATTAGTTATTCGAAGGGGGTTGGGATCTTTTTCCATTCCTCTCTTAGAGCCATTTTTGAAAGTACTTTCCTGGAAATTTGATGTTTTCTAATTAGTTCGGAGTAATAAACTAATGTGTTTATGTTATAAACTCTACTGTAAATGGTTCGTCATAAAAATCGTACAAAAACGTATTGCTTCTATACTTTTACCCACTTTTCGCATTTTTTTGTTAATTTCACAAATTATATTAACTAGCAAATGTTGTTTGGACTACATCTATCTTAGAGATTTCCGAGAGTATGTAAAATGTCATTGATTATACAAAAAGAAGTTAAGAAACTACAATTTCACAGAAAAGTTTTTTGGGAAATTGATCGGTGTACGAATACATTCTACACCCACTGTATGTACTCAGCGAAGATAACAAGTTATGTGGTTTTTCTTTATCAATAAAGGGCAAGTTCACATTTATAAAGGTGCACAATTAGTACCTACACTTAATGCATCAGTTCAAAGAACATTATTGTGGTGTTGTTTATATCAAAATTGTGAAGTATTCCTTTAAAATACTATATAAACATTCAGTCTCATCTCAATTAAGAATACATCAAGGAATATGAATGTTTCAGGCATTTGAAAATAAGAAGAAATAAAAGTGAAGCTACACTCACAAGGTCTCCTCGTACTTTTGGGCCATTCCCTTCGCCATGGAGTTAGCGACAACCTTCTCGCCAGGAATGGCAAACTGATGGGTGGTTTCCCTCAGCCTGGACTCCTTCAAGACCTGTTCCTCTTCGAGGTTCATGAGCTTGTTGTAATAGTCCTCGTTCTTCTTGCTTTTGACAGACTTCTGCCATTCTGTTTCGGGTTCTTTCATGACTTTTTGCCCGAGGTGCTCGGTGGCGATCTCGATTCCTTGGGACACGTTGTGGTGTCTCTCGTCGAATACTCTCTCGAGCTCTGTGTTCTGTCGCTCCGATTGGTATTGGGTCAGCCCATAATCATACCACGCTAGAGAAAAGGCACGTTAGACCGCTCCATTCTCACGTTGCCGCGCAACCGACAACGCATGCCAGACGAACGTGAACCTTTTAGGCTCGGAAACGTTCAATCTCGATCGAATATACGACGTTCCTCGATGCTAACAACAATTTACTATTTTTATACGTGAATTCGATAAAGGTAGATGGGTAAGATATTATTCAACCCTTCAAATATCAAAGTAAGATCGCACATGATAGCAAGTAAAGGAAATATTCCTCGTCAAAATTCTTTAATTCTACTCTAGTCCCTTTATAGAATAAGAATTGTAACTGTTGAGGATACTAGTGGTTTTCTATGTTTCACTTTTTACATATTATAAGTATGATAAACGTAATAACACAATCAACCACTTGAAAACCCTTGAACATCAACTTTCATCCAAATCGAGTCACTTTTCACGTTTTCTTCCGCCATATTGGATCCACCATGTTGAATCTCCATTTTTTGAATTCAGATTTAGAATCAGCACACTCAAAAACCTCTGTATTCCAAGTATCATGAAAATCGAGACAAGTATACATTAGTACTTCTTATGAATTTGAAGGGTGGTTTCAACCCTCAAATATAAAAACGACCCAAAATAAAAAAGAAGTGTCAAATATTTTTCGATTTTCTACACGCATGCAAAATTTCAAAATGATCAGAGACGGATATTAAAAATTACCTCTTTGTTAATTTAACCTTGATTGATGGCTAATGATGGTTATCTCTTGTATTCTTTTTTTTTGTGCTATACATTCGAAACTTGGAAAAATGTCAAAAAATGATTTAAATACATTTTAAAGAGAATTCAATTCTTCTTAAAAACGTTTACTAAGCTAATCCTCTATCCCCTATAATAAACAAAAATGAATTAAACTTTAGAGTTTTGCGTACTTTTTCAATCTAATATCTCAAAAAAAAAAAGAAAAAACCTTAAACATATTTTCATGGTAGTTTTGAACGAGGAATCATCCTTTTCGTTAATCTTGCTATAAACTATACAGCATTCACTGCAGTAGAATCATTTTATTAACCCGCAACACGTACTATCTCTGATTTATCAGTTTTAACAAACAAGCATTAGTATCAAGTGAACGTCGCATCTTCGCTAAAAGAGATTTTTCTAGAACCACGGGGAAATACGACACAGTACTTCGTTGGCGATGCAACACATATCGACGTCTCCTGCGGGAGAAACAGGATGCCCGAAAACCAGACTACCGGAGACAGAGGTGGACATCTGAACAATTCACGTCAGAGCACGTGGTTAACACTATCTCGTAGACACATTCTTTATTGAACACATCATCAGGGGAAGGTCTGTAATTTCTAACATTTCAAGGGTTCGTGATCGTATTCAGAGATTCAGTACTATTCGCACTTATCAAAATTCAATTTTTAATTATTTTACCAAAATAGATGTTGGATTCTTTAAACGGAGTCTCTGCTTCACGAAACACGACAGGATAACGTGGGTGACAAGGGACATATATTTTCTATTAATAAGAAATTCGCCACGCGACGAGGATTATGTGTAAATAACGTCGATACTGTCACGACATAGATAGCACTCTGAGAAATACGGACTCTGCTCGGCTAATGACGCCCCAAGATTATCAATGACGCGATTGATGGTTGCATGCGGAAACAATACATAAAATAAAGTCATGATGGAATGCAATTGATAAGCAGCGGGTATGAATTATTCTTAAAAAAAATATTAAGAACAATATCAATATGAGCAATAAACCCGTTTTCTCCAGTGCAACAGAGATCTCATAGTACGGAGGAAAATATTTAACCAATAAGTTTGAAACGCTGTGCCTGTCGCGTATCAATGAATGAATTCGTCTTTGTCAAAGAAAAATTGTCGTGGTGGTCGAAATATTTTTCTCCGTGCTGATCTGGTAACATTCGGACAACAAAAAAATGAAAAAACAATGATGAACAAATAATCTAAAGAACGAGTGCTTTCTCGGTGGTTTATTCCATACCTGAATGCCGGTTTGTGAAACGAAGTAGCCGATACCTTTGACTTTAGACGACATTGCTCGAATATGCCCGTCGAAATCCCATACCCCGAAGAAGAAGAAGAAGAAGAAGAAGAAGAAGCTGCTCGGGGTGCTCGAGGATGAGGTGAGTCTTTCGAATCCTTTCGTAACATTCGTTTTGGAGGAGAAAGGACAGGGAACTAGGGCTGGTGTTCGAATAATGGTTTCGAGTGTTTTTCTGTACTCGAATGGAATGTATGTGTCGTATCGATATCTTATGTACTGTGTTCCGGTTGTCACTTATCATTCAATTGCGATCGTATTTCACGCATGTTGATCGCTATTGAAGTCGAACAACCGCGTCTTTCATTCTTTCTTTTTTCTCTCGTGTGGTATTATTGTGCCGTTGTTCGATATTGGCGGATTATCATTTGTTTTCTGTATGCAGGGGTTGAAAACAGTTGTTGATATCTCGAAACAGTTATAAGAATCGAAATGATAATAGAACGATTGTAGTTATACAGTTCTGTAAGTTTCTAAAAATATGTTAATTTCGATTGATTTTCAATATTAAATCAACAGTGCATCAATTATTTATTATATTATAATCAAACTTGGTTACCGTTTGTACAACTGTCATCTTGCATAATTCAATTATTGTTTCATCGCATAAGTAATGTATTCTCTATTACATGTGAAATTAATTTATATCTGCGCACGGATGAAATAAATTTCAAACTTCATATAACTCTTCGAGTCAGAATATTTCTATAACAATTTGAAACAGTTACTTTTGGAACCTTTTCAACCCCTGTCTGTATGTGCCTGCATTCTTTGTGGCAACAAAAATTAATTTCACTTCATGAAAAGTGGACACTCATTACTGTAATTCAATACTATGATTTACATTGCTGGTATTTATATATAGAAATTCGAAGAATCGAATAGGAAAGAGTAGCACATATCGAAAAGCAATATTCTCACGTTCGAGAAACACAAAGAATGCAAAGACACGTTAATGTAAGGGAGCCTCTGTTCGTGGATGAACTTACGTCTTGGTGAGTTCTTCAGCACCCCGCGATAATCATCGCTCCTTGGTTTCACGGTCAATGTCGTTTCCGTGCGTGTCTCACCGACCGAACTCCTAGCGATGATCTCGACTTTCCCATGGTCGTATTGTCTAGTTTTGGGGATGTCCAGATGGTACATGCCGTCATAGGTTAACTTGTACCTCGATCCCTAAGAAAACAGTTTTATGTTCAATACGATGGCAAAGGAATAACTCTTGCAAAACGTCTTGAAAATAACCTCGTATAAATAATAGAGATAATAATTTGAAGGAAAAACTTCTGCAAAACGCCTGTTTACAAATAATAAAAATTTTGATTTTTCTTTTTATATCTACTTGGAGTTTTAGAACTTAAGATATTGCGTTGAAATAAAATTGCTCTAAACTGTTTTCGTAAAACATGGTTAACTACATTTTTATTTTGAATGATGTTTCTTGAAAAAAATTGTTTTTTAAATTGTAACAGGAGGGCATCAACGTTCGAAAAGCCCCGTCACTCCCCTCCTCCCCCTCCCCTTTTCAATGAAATCGCTGCGATAGGCACAGTAATTGCCAAAAGGGCCGGCAGGGAAACCTAGCGGCAAGCACGTGCGATCGCGTTTGATTCCCGGCACTCTGTTCCGGGTGGTTCCGGGATCACGTATTGAACGTTGTTCTGAGATCGATATTGGAAAGTCGTCTTAGCGAGTGCTGACTTTTTATTCATTTCATTATTAAATCTTATATTATATTAAGGGGCTTGGAACATCAAAAAATGAAGAAAAAAAAAACTTTTTTGTTTATTTTTTTTATTAATATAAAACGATTCTGAACAATTCTACGCAAAAAAAAATTAATTTGGAGCACTGAAAGTGGTAAACAAAATTTAAAAAAAAAAATGGAATTTTTTTTTCACAAAATTTTTTTTTCTCGCAAAAAAAAGTTCAACGACACGAACTTAGAAAAAAGAACGCGATACAACTGTAAAAAATATAAGGAAATACAACTGAAAACTTTTCAGTTGTATTTCCTTATATTTTTTACAGTTTTATCGCGTTCTTTTTACTAAGTTCGTGTCGTGAAAAAAAATTTAGTTTACCACTTTTAGTGCTCCAAATTCAATTTTTTTTTGCGTAGAATTGTTCAGAATCGTTTTATATTAATAAAAAAATAAACAAAAAAGTGTTTTTTTTTTTCCTTTTTTTGATGTTCCAAGCCCCTTAATTTAGTTCCATATTATTATCACATTAATTTAGTTCGATATTTATATAAGTGTATTGACAAGTAAGAGGCCATACCGAACGCTGTGCGAGCCGTAATAGATAGCCGTAACTCATCGACAAACACTGTAAGTCAGAAGATTTAATTTTACCTGAAGTATACTTCTTTATTCTATTCCTTATCACAATTTTATTCTATCCTTTCTCTCACTTTACCTCTCACGGCTCATCCAACTGACCCACCCTGAGTGAGTCTCCTGTTCCGTTTGGCGATTTGCTGTAAAATCGACTGGCGCCCTAAATCTTTATTTTATACAAATTCAATCTTTATTCTTTAGAGCCCCGGCAACCCTTGACCCAGGCCGGGCCGGGTGGATTTCTTCTCTCGACAATTTAGCTTTTTCGAATTATCGTTTAATCTAAACCTAATAATTTGTCGAGAAAAGTAAATCGGTCTCAAAATCATTCATTGCGGTATTAGAAAGAACTAGAAATTGTAACATATTTTCTACATCTCATATTGGGGTAGAGATGTTAACTAAAATGTTTTCACTCCTACAATTCTGTTTTAGGATCAGCGAAAATTAGAAATGTGGTTAACCCTACAAGTAGTGCATCAGTTCTCAAAATTGTGTTATAAGTATAGTTGAACAAATTAAAGAAATTCTTTATAGTCGATTCTTGGCTCCCATAAAGTTGTATCTTTTAACCAAAAGGAATTTAAATAGAAGCTTACGTTCACCACCGTGTGCCCATTGATGATCCACATGACACGTGGTCTAGGATGACCAGTGACACGACAGCAGAATCTGGAACAATCACCCTCTTCGACAGTTACGGGCTCCGGTTTGCTCACGAATGTTGGAGGAGCCCGAACCTTCTCCTCTTCGCCCTCTTCCTCAGGTACTCTGTATATCAAACAAACGTTACGGAAGTGAAAAACCGGTATAGTCTAATATACTTAATGTGAAGCTACTTAGAATTTACAATACATCCTTTAGTTGATAAAGTGAGGTCAATTTATCTTCGACTAAAGAATAGATGGATTATATGTTTAACTTAATTAATAATTAAACAGAAATCTTGTCAATGCTGCGTTAGTTTCCATGTGAAAATGTTATGATGACGGCTAATAAATATTTAAATTGTTCAATTTTTAGGACTCTATCTGCAGGACAATAATCTGAAATTGGATAGTACAGGTCTTTCGACCTTTCCTCAATAATTATTTTCTAAAAAAAACCGTCAACTGTATTATCGCTAGAAAATTTACAGATATTTCTCGATAGTCAATAAATATACATGATAAATTTCAAAACAATCGCCGGAATAGTGACTCTCAAATAAATATTCGAGTATGCCCCACATTTCTATACATCTATACGAAAACTTGATCTAGTAAGACTTTATCCAGCAATCTAGGTATTTATTCTTCACAAGTATAATTGCTCTATAAGAATTTATAACTTCTCTTAAGTATCAAATTTCTTACATTTGCCAAGCAGCTTCCATCTCCCTGATCTTCTCGATACTTTTCATGCCCTTCGGCAGCTGCGACTCGTAAATGATACCAGGCTTTCCAGCCGTTCGAATCACCGCTCGCGTTTCATCCATTCCGTAAAGATTCGTGGCCCTGCAGAGGTACTCCCCACTATCTTCAGGGTACACCCAACCGAAGTTCATCGCCACGTAGCCGAAATCGTAGATAGGCGTGAATCTGTTCTTGTGCGGCAGAGGTTTGCCGTTGAAGAACCATTCGACTTTCATGTTTGGATCGCCAACTGGCGCCAGCTGGCACTCGAACTTCGAGCTGTTCATTTCAACGAGCTCGGTTTGGTCTTGAATCTGGGTGACGAAACGAGGTGGTTGTTTCTTGTCCGCGTCGTAGAGGTCGTCCTCGGTCAGGTGAACCTCCGAGGTATATTTCTTGATAGTTGCTTCCATCTGCATCAACGCTTCCGACTTCTTCATACCCTTTGGCACTTGATTTTGCAGGATGATACTGGGTAGTTCTATGAAACAAATAAAAAAATGATAGATTATATTTAAGAGGCTAGTCATTCTTTCTGGGCTAAACAACAGATCTTTTGGGGTTAATATTCTTCTTGCTTGAGGTCTATAAAATATATTTACCAAGTTATATTTAAAAAGATTCAAAATGCTAGTGTTATAACTGTTTATTCCACTGTTAGGTTGTTTGAACACGAAAGTTTAAGAGGGTATTCTTCTGTTTTGGATAATCACTTCCGAACCACCCCTTTCAAGGAGCTCCAACATTATTGCTCGTAACTAGACTGCGGATCTTTATGCAAAATAAAATCTTCGCGGGCGTGCCTACAAAAATTGAACTTAAATAGGAATTTATTTTATTTTGCAAATATTGTAACATGAACTTTACTTTTAATCTTTTTTATATTCTTTCATATTGTTTGCATTTTGTAGTTTCTTACACATTTAAATTTCCTATAAATGCATAAAGATCCGCAGTCTACTCATAACTATTGTTATTGTATGAAACCTATTGATTATAGATTGCCACTGAAAAGAATAAAATAAAATAATTTTTGGAGAGAAAATATAACCGACTTCGAAAAAACAGTAGATTTTATTTTAATGTTTTACGAAACTTGTAAAGAAATGGAGAAAGTCGTTTGAAAATTTTGGAGAATCGTGTAAACGTATGTATAAAATATAAATGTACCAAATTTCAAAAGTTTATGTCAAGTACTATGGCTGTAAAAAATAATATGCTTCGAAACTGGGTTAAGAAAAACTACACCCTTAATACTTTCTAGAGTTTAACTCACATCGTGGATATAGAGACTCGTAAGATTGATAACTTACTTTTGCATGAAACTGATGCCCTGGTGGTGTCTTCTCCAAGATCATTGATGGCCTTGCAAACGTATTCTCCCGAATCTTCAGGGTAGACGTACAAGATGTCCATAGACACAAATCCCATATCGTAGGTTGTTCTGTATCTGTGCCCACATGGGATCAACTTGCCATTCCTGTACCACTCGATACGTAAATTTGGATCGTCTTTGGGTTCCACGCGGCACTCGAACCTAACTGGTTCAGACTCGTCGACCGTTGCTGATTGAATATGCGTGACGAATCGCGGTGGTTGACGAGGTGGCTCTTGAGCAGGTGGTTCGCTCACTGGTCCACGTTCTAACTCCTTTAGTTTCTCACCGCTCATGCCTGACGGTAGCTGAGAATCGAAGTCTATCGTTTTCTTGGCTGAAATATCCAAACGTTCGCGATTATTAATTAACAATGTCGTATCTCTGCCGTTAAAATGATTAGTTGTATATTTAACCAGCCAACTTTATTTTAAATTGTATTATCATTACATATATTAACAGCTGATATTTTAATGAAGGTTTGTTTATTTGTAAAAAAATATTGGTTGATTCTGTGCAATTGTTTTCGCGATAAGTCCCATTACATATAGAAAATCAAAAGTAGTATTTTTGTCATTTCTGTTCACGAACAATAGATTTATGAATTCATATAAAAATACAAGATAACTGTTTGAAATAATTTCTTTTAAGTAGTTAATTTTATTTCGTTATTTTCTTCAAAATAATGTATAATATGCAACGAGAAGAATGAATTTTAAGGAATCTTGATAACAATTTCCTTTGATAATATCTCAAATAAATTTCAAAAGTGCATAAGTCTTATCTCAAGGTATCTAACGAAGCCAGCTAGAATAATATTCCTAAAGAAGAGGTCCCACGTATGTAAGTTTGGGCGGCGAGCACGAGCAACGTCCACTTGAAAGTGTCAACTCGTCGCGCAGAAGGGTCTGAAGGATCCAAGCGAGCTAGCACAGCGAGCCACAAACACCCAAACGAGCACGGAATCCCGAAAAAGGCCACGCACCATTATCGCTGTCGCCGCCGCCATAAAGAATTGAAAATACCAACCTCGACAATTTTTATCAGAACTTTGCGGAAGTAACTTCAATCGATTCCTGATACTTCTACGATCAAAATAATATGTCACATCACGAAAATCGAACTATTTTTAACGAAATACATTTCCAATTATGCAATCAGATTTTGCATATAATTTCGTTAAAAATAGTCCGATTTACGCGACGTGAGATATCATTTTGATCGCAGAAGCATCAGGAACCAATTGAAGTTGCCTCTACAAAGATCTGATAAAAATTGCGGAGGTTGGTATTTATATTTCTTAATGGCAAAATTGGTGGTGTCCGTACGAGCTGTGAACCGATGAATTGCCGGTCTCGGTCAAAAGGAGTATTGGGGGTCTCGCTTCGAACCACTCGAAAGGGTCGATTTTTTTGAGCGTTCGATCCACGCTCGCGTGGAATAGTCCCCGTGCTCGCGAACCTTGGGGCATGGGTCGAGTCCCAACCGCTCGTAAAAATAGAACCTTTCAAGTGCTTCCAACCGTTCGTCGTCGCATTTACCGACCTTTTGCTCGCTAGTAGGAACGTGTTTTCGAACAAAATCCGGCGATCACGGACAATTTATTGCTCGAGCACGTTCGTCACATAGATGGGACCTCTCCTTTACGATTTATTTCAGTACCCTAATACTCTCTAACTTGGTACATACATTTGCATGTGATGCTTGCTTTTGTGGTAGCAGAACCCCATTTGTTCGTTGCTCTGCAAACATACTCGCCGCTGTCCCTGGCATAAGTGTACGACATGTCCAAAGAAATGAATCCGAAATCGTTGATCTGGTGGACTCGCGAGCCCGTGGCGAAGGATCGTCCGTTATGGAACCAATCGATACGCATCGTAGGATCGCCCACGGGCTCGACTCTGCAGTCAAAGTGACTTGACGCTCCTTCCTCCACCTCGATGTCCTTCAATTCCACGGTGAATTTAGGTGGGTTAGGTGTCTCTTCTTCGGTGAGCAACTCGTCCCTCTTGTACAAAGCCTCCTCCAACTTCTGGATGCTCTCCGTTCCGGTCTTGAAGTTGGTAGGCAACTGGGGCTCAAGGATGATTCCTTGACGTCCACGGACCTGCAGCTTGCAGGACACGGTGGCTTCGCCGTGACGGTTCGTTGCTTTGCAGGTGTAGAGACCAGAATCGCGTTGGTAGCAGTTGGCGACTTCGAGGATGACAAAACCGAAGTCGTGGATGGTCTTGATCCTGGTTCCAGCGAGCAGAGGCTTTCCATTGTGGAACCACTCCACTCTCATGCTGGAGTCATTGATGGGCGTCAATCTGCACTCGAAGTGGGCCAGAGAGTTCTCGGTTAAAGTCAAATCGGATGGTGTCGTGATGAATTCCGGTGGTTTTCCGGTGTCGTCCTCCGGAGTAGCTGCGCTTGGCTCGTTTCCGAGACCTTCTAACTCAGCGATCTTGTCGATAGTGCTTTCCATTCCCTTAGGCAGCTGGGATTCTAGAATTATGCTGCGTTTTCCGGTACACTTCATGGTGCAGGTTGTCACTGCCTCGCCGTATTCGTTCGTTGCTCTGCAGCTGTACTCTCCTGAATCTTCTGGGTAAATTGGCGATATTTCAAGGATAACAAAGCCGAAGTCGCAGAAGGTGCGGAAACGTGAGCCGGTACGCAATGGTTTTCCATTCCAGAACCATTCGACCTGCAAATTTAATAAATAGAATTATAATTTGTGTACAAAATATTTACATATAGATTATTTATAGGATACTTCTTTTTATATAAATATTTAAAAACAACAAATTGAATAGAGATGCCTCCTCTAAGCAATTGAATTTTGAATTAAAAATATTCTATTCTTATTTAAATATTTGAATATATATTATTTACTAGAAACTTCTTCCCAAATACATTCTTCATACAATAAACTAAATTCAAATGCCTTCAAACAATCTAATTTTTACTTCTAAATGTTCTACTTTTATATTGTATGTAGATATATTACTAATGCGTATCTTTTATAAGAGATTTCTATTCAAAGTCAATAAATTCGATTAAAACCCTGCCAAGCAATTTTATTTTTAATATTGAATATTTTATTTTTATACACAAAAGATAAAAATAAATATTATTTATAAGACAGTTGTATTCAAATATCGATAAATTAAACCCAAGTCCTTCCAAATAACTTCATTTTTAATTTAAAACTTTGAATTTAAATAAAGTTATTGACTTTTCAGACAATATATGATTAAGTATGCACCATCACTATACTAAGTAAGTGAATGCTTCGTCCAACTGGATCTCGTTTCCTCTAAGAGCTCAAACAGGAAGGGCTTTACCGAATGTTTAAAATGTTCCTAATCAAAATCAAACAACTTTTCCAACTCAGTACCATTACCTTTAATTTTGGATCGTCAGTAGGTGTAAGTCTAGCTTCAAAGTGTGCGCTTTCTCCTTCCCGAAGGCCATCGATGTTGCTCAGTGGCACGGTGAACACTGGAGCCTTTCCACGCTCTTCAACAACCTTCTCGTCTTTCGTTCGAATCATCGAATCTTCCAGTGTCTGTATCTTCTCCAGACCACCCTCCATTCCCTTTGGAAGTTGAGATTCCAAAATAAGGCTGGACTTGGAGTAGCACTTCAACGATGCCTTTGTCGAGTCTTCTCCATACTTGTTATAGGCTCTGCACTCGTAGACTCCAGAGTTCTCTTCGTAACAGTACAGTATGTCCAAGATGACTATGCCAAAATCGTGGAAGGTTCTGTATCGATGTCCGTGAGGAAGCTTCTTGCCGTTATAATACCACTCGACCTTCAAATCTGGATCGGTCACCGGCGTGAGTCTAGCTTCGAAGTGAGCCGACTGTCCTTCAACCAATTTAGTGATGTCAGCGATTTGGGTGATGAATTTAGGTGGTTCGGTGACCGGGGTTGTTGGAGTGGTTGGTTGTTCCCCTCCAAGGCTCTCCAATTCGCGAATTCTAGCTAGAGAATCCGGTTGTAAGGAATCTAGGTAGACTCCGCTCTTTCCGAAGCATTTAATGGTTGCCTTCGTGTAATCTTCGCCATATTTATTACTGGCCTTGCACACGTATTCTCCAGTGTCGTGTGCCATCACTCCAGCGATGTCCATCACGACGAACCCAAAGTCGGACACCATCTTGAACCTGGAAGAGTGCCTCAAGGGCTGTCCGTTGTGGAACCACTCCACTTTCATGTGAGGATCTCCAACTGGAATAAGGGTGCACTCGAAGTGGGCCGACTGGCCGTCCTTGAGGCCCTCCAATGATTGGATCTGCGTAGTGAACTTAGGTTTCTGTCCCTTGGACTTGTCCACGCATTCCAGTTCCACGCTGATCTCAGCTTGGCCCCATTTGTTCGTGGCACGGCAAGAGTAGGTGCCGGAGTCCTCGATCTTCGTTCCAAGGACTTCCAGGACGACCATGCCGAAAGCATAGACAGTCCTCGTGCGATGGCTAGCGTCCAATGGCTTCCCGTTGTAGAACCATTCGACGACCATGGTTTGGTCACCGGTTGGCGTAAGGGAGGCTTCGAAGTGGGCGATCTCACCCTCGGACAGGTTCGTCAGATTCTCGAATTGGGACGTGAACACTGGAGGATGACCTTCCTCGCTCTCGGGCGGACCACCTTCCTGCCGTTTCAGGGACTCTTCGAGGTCTTGGATGGCTTCCAGACCCTCCTTGCCCTTTGGATGTTGCGACCTTTCGATGATGTTCTCCTTGGTCGAGCAGTAAATCGTCGTCGAGGTGAATGCTTCCCCTGCCTTGTTGTAGGCCTTGCAGGTGTAAATTCCAGAGTCGCGTTCGTAGACGTCTGTCAGATCCAGGGTGACGAATCCGAAATCGCTGGTCATCTTGAAACGAGATCCGTGCTCCAAGGCTTTGCCATTGAAGTACCACTCGATCTTCAAGTTGGGATCCTCTTTCGGTTCTACCTGGCCTTCTAGATGCAACGGCTCGGATTCGCCTAGTTTGAACTCTGGTTGCAGCGGAACTGTCCAGATTGGTTTAGGATATTCGTGTTCAGGGCCATCCTCTGGTCTTCTATATTTGGACAGATAAGCATCTTCCGCCTCCTTGACTTTCTCCAGACCAGCTTCGCCTTGAGGATGCTGAGTCTGCAAATAGATACTCTGTTTGCTGATGCACTTCAATGTACCTGATGTCTGTGCAGAGCCCTTGGAGTTGGTAGCCTTGACAATGACCACTCCAGAGTCTTCCTCGTAAGCGTGGTTGATGTCCAAAGCAACGTAACCAAAATCGTAGGTTGATTTGAACCTGGCACCGGTTGGAAGTGGTTTTCCATTGATGAACCACTCGATCTTCATGGTCGGGTCTTTCGATGGTTCTACGTTGCATTCGAAGTGGACATTGTCACCTTCGACGCACTCGACGTTGTTGAGGTGGGTGATGAAGACTGGTTCTTCGTATGTTGGTTCCGGTTGTTCGGCGGATGTGACGTGAGGCTGTTCCAGAGCATCGATCTTTGGAAGAGCATCGGGATGAAGAGTGTCACCGAGTAACCAGTGACGATCGACGATCTTCAAGCTGCAGGTGGATACAGCTTCTCCCAGCAGATTGGTCGCCTTGCAGGTGTAAATTGCTGAATCGTCAGGCCTTAAACCATTGATGGACAACGTCACAAGACCGAAATCGAAGGTGCTACGAAGTCTGGTTCCAGTTTGAAGCGGTACTCCGTTCTTGAACCACTCCACGCGGAGGTTTGGATCCGCTCTTGGCTCGACTTGAGCCTCCAAGTAGACGTGTTGACCTTCGACGAGCTTGTCGTAGCTCTCCAGATGCTTCGTGAAAACTGGAGCTTGTTGCGGGGTCGTGTCGACAAACATTTCAGGGACTTTGTTCATCTCAGCTTCCTTCAGTTGGATCTTCTGCCACGCGTCGGGCTGAAGACTGTCAGCATCGATGGCCGAGCGTGCTTTGACCTTCAGAGATATCGAGGAAACTGCTTCCCCGGATTTGTTGATCGCTTTGCAGGTGTACACACCGGAATCTTCTGTTATTACCTTCAGGATATCCAAGGTTACGTAACCGAAATCGTGATTTACGTGGAAACGAGAACCTGTGGAAATGGTTCGTGTTAATTTGAGAACAAAAGTGGTAAGGATTCTGATATGTGAATTTAAAACGTATACTAGATGATCCACTTTAGATTAAGGGTTTTGTAAAATGGATTGGGATTTTATTTTTTTATAGTAAAATACGTCTATCAGCTTCGTTTAATTGTAATCTTATATACATTTATTTCAAATAAATAAAATCAGATATACGTACAGTCAGTCCCATAAATATTCGTACCTTCAATGTTCATTGAAAAAATTTGTCTAAATTAAATGATAAATGTTGTGTTTCCAAATCAATTTTTCTTTATAAATATATACACGTGTAAAGTTTATTCATGTACATATTTATAATGAAAAATTTGTTTAAAAACGTCACACCTGTCATTTAATTTAGACAAATTTGTTCAATGGACATAAAACGTACGAATACTAATGGAACTGACTGTATGTATGTATTCTATACCACTTTCGTTGTCCAAAAATAAAATTGTAAAGCCCCTTAATGTCATTGTTGTCAGTTGTATTAATATAATATTTATATAAAAATATATAGTATGTATAAAATATTATATTTATATAGAAATATATGGTATATATGATATATTATATTTATATAGTAATACATTCCATTATATAATGCAATATTTATATAGAAAATGGAATAAACTATATTCATTCTTTTTTGTGGTACTTACCCATCTTAAGCTCAACTCCGTTTATGTACCACTCGAACCTCAAGCTGGGGTCGCCAACAGGGACGACTCTGCATTCGTATCTAGCCATCTGACCTTCCCAAAGTTCTGAAGGTCCAGTTAATAACTGCGTGAATATGGGTTTGTCGAAAACTTTGTCTGGTTCTTCGGGTCGACTTGGTTTGTCAGCTTCGAGCTGGGCGATTCTACGCTGAGCTTCTGGATGCTGGGTCTCTAGTTGTATGCTGGCTTTGCCTAAACAGGAAGAGACAATTATTAGTCAATAATTAGTAAATTTCATTTTTAGACGAAGCAACAACGTAAACAGGGATACTGACTCTTGATTCTCATCGAGGCTGTTGTGACTGCTTCGCCAAGAGGGTTAGTAGCACGACACATGTAGACACCCTCGTCGTCCCCTCGTACATGATTAATATCCAGTGACACGTATCCGAAATCGTGGACCTTGGTTATTCGTGAGCCTGAAAAGTAGGAGGGATCACGTAAAATCTCGTTTCTCAGTTCGAAGAAGCCAACAGACAGATCAAAGTCTCGTATACTACTTATTTTATCGATACAGCTCAGGTAATCTAACCTTTAGCAGTCTTCATTAAAGAGTTACCTTTATTTAAACCGAAATGAGTCTGTGATCTTCCGGTTTGGAAAGATTCAATACTATTGTCATGTATGAAGACTTACTGGTTTCCAACGGAACTTCATTTCTGAACCACTCAACCTTCAACGTGGGATCGCCTACAGGTATCAACCTGCACTCAAAGTGAGCAGTTTGTCCCTCGGGGATGGCGTCAATGTTCTGCAATGGTTGAGTGAAGACAGGTCGTTGTCTGGTTTGGGGTTCTGGTACTTCAGGTCTCTTCCAAGGCTGCTGGGCCTCGAGTTCGCGGATTTTGTCCATTCCTTCGGGACGCTGAGAGTCCAGAATGATGTTGTCTCTGGGGATAACTCTCAGCTCGATCGAAGAGACGCATTGCCCGAGAGCGTTGATCGCTCGTACAGAATATTGTCCAGCGTCTTCAGGGACTGCGTGACCGATGTCCAAAGCCACGTATCCGAAGTCAAACGTAACGTGGAACCGAGAAGCCGATGGTAGGGGCTTGCCATTGTGGAAGAACTCGATTCTCAAGTTGGCATCATGGAGAGGTTCAACTTGGCACTCGAAGTGGGCTGTTTGACCTTCGTATACTTCGGTGGTACCCTGAAGAGAGGTGAACAAAATTAAGAAACGTGACTACTGTAACTAATTCTATTCGCATTTAATTTCTATTATTTTAACATATATTTATTCAACCATGTAGCAACCAATTATCTGAAAGTTTTTCCTATATTCATTTCGTATAAAATTTTACTTTCAATTAAAAAGAATTTTTATTTCAGTTTTAGAAACATTTTTAATACACAAGTATTGAAATACGCTGGCACCCAGATATGTAAATACACGGGTACCCGGGTATCGAAATACACGGATATCCAGGTACGTACACGTGCATCGAAATACACAGGAAGCATACATCGAAATATACGGGTACAGTATCCAGTTAGTTTTACATACAAACTTTTATGTAAAAAAAAGCTTTTATTCTAAAATAATGATGCTTATTAATTTTGAAAAAAATTGATAAGCAATAAAACAAATAAATAAAAAAATATAAACATTAGACGAATAAATATAACATAATAAATTTTTCAGTGTAATTTGTAAAACTTTATTTATTAGTTAAAATAAATGTTAAAGTCAATGTCCTATCCGTATATTTCGATGCACATGTACGTACATGGATATTCGTATTTTTCGATACCCTGGTACCGGTGTATTAAAAATACACGGATTTAAAACACGGATCGATCAATTACCCGTGTACCCTGTATTTTGATACACGTGAAGTAGGGACTCTAATATATGATGAAAACATAGGAATTATTGTATGTCATTCATTCTATAGTGAAAAAGTTAAGTATCATTCTAAAGGTCTTGGTTCGACGTTATGCATTTTTCACATGAAATTTAAATATTTTTTTACGAGGTTTAAAATATCTTTGAGGATAAAATGATGTATTTTTTAAAAGGAGACTATCATGATACACTTTCACAATAAAATATATGTTTCAAAGAATAAACAACCTTTCTTTCACTTCACAAAGAAGAAAATTCAATGAAGGCAAATTTTTTAGCCAGTTTTTAGGGATTATTGTTAGCTGGTATATAAATTAAATTAAGATGTAACGTTAAGATATTCTTACTCTGAGCTCGGTGACAAATCTTGGTGGCGTCACAGGAGGTTCTTCGACTTCTAAACGGGCAGGATGTCCTTGGGCCTCGAGTTCGCGGATCTTTTCGAGTCCATCGGGATGTTGGGTGTCTAGGAGAATACTGCGTCGAGCTGCAAAGAAAAATTACTCGGTAAATAAACATTTATTTGTTTCACTCATACGATGCAGTTAAATGAATCGAAGGATCTATAAATTACTGGTTAGTAGTGGTCATGAGCTATATCCATCGAGATTCACCGTCGGCTTTCTCGTTATGAGTATAACGAATATCGCTTCGTTCTATTACTTCTCAGCTGTTGAGTACAATATGGCCTCTCTTCTAAACCTTGAAACGTTACACGCCGACCAATATCATGGCACTTTGGATTCTGATAAGTATTTCTCAACTTATCCCTCTCGTTATAATGCTTATAGTTATCGAAATTTAATTCAGATTTTCTTCTCGTCGCAAAATGAATTTCATTTCTAGGATATGTTTTACAATATCGATCAGTCACTGTTTTGCACCGATGTTTTTTGTCAATGTATTCTTCGTACATTTTACGAGGTTCCGTGAATTGATCGGTGCATCTACAAGTTGTCAATGAAAACGATCCAAATCTGGGCTTCATGCTCGACAAATTTTCTCGTCGAAGAGGTGGTTTGGAGTAAATTCTTTTCTCGTGATACAGCTCATCCTTATTTATTCTTTGGGGGGGTTTCAGGGGTTGGAAACGAGGAGGAGGGTAATGTTTGTGTTTTTTTGCTAATAATTGTATTAAATTTCAGAGTTAGTAAAGATTTTGTTTGATAATTGTGAGGTAGTCAGAATGCAAGTAATTTAGAAAAATGAAAGATGTTGTGAAATCTATACAGGGTGTCTACGTATAAGTTCGGACATACGCAGGGTGTCAATTCTACAACAAATTTCCAACAAAACATTACTCTTAGACATTTTCTTTGTGTCGCCTTATTCTCGAGTATTCTCACTTTTAATATTTTTTATGCGTTTGCAACTTGACACTCTTTAAACGGTCATAACTTCACCAAATTACAGTACAAACTTGAAAGTAAGAATACCATTCGAAAGAGCGTTAAATTTTTCAACTCCCTGATGCCAAACCAAAATTTATCACGTAGATTTAACAAGTGAAAAATTAGGTTAAACTTTATATTGTGAAAATTTCAAAAAATTGGACTTTTTCTGTATTCGTGTTTCGTTTTCAAAGACATAGTTGTTTGACGGGCACTCTTCTGGAAAAACTTCCTCGAAGTCTCAGCTTTTGAAGAGTATTGTTAAAAAAAATTGTACCGTGATATTTTCGGGAGAAAATTACGTGTACATGCAGAAGAGCGTGGGTTTTTAGCTGAAAATCGATATTTTTCAACGAAAATCGACTTGTCACTTTAAAATTAATTTGACATCGGGTTTGATGTATTTTTTAGTGACACTCCCGGGCCTCCCCAATTATGAAAAAAAAAACGATTTTTTGACACCTCAAGCCTCTCCCAGCCGTGTGTAGAGCCTGAGTGCGAGGTGAATAATAATTGTTTTTGAACATGTATTCATAGTTTTTTTGTTATTAGACACTATTTAATCAAAATCAACCTCGGTGTACCGATAAATGATATGAAGATTGGAACACGATTTCACAAAGCAAAAAATCGATGTTTTCGGCGCAGGAGAACTGATAAGCTTTGATTTAGGAGACAGGCATTATGAATGCTTTTCTGAATTTAAACGTCATTTTCTTCCTAAAATACCACCGCACAATTTTTTTTTGACAATACCCTTCAAAAGCTGAGACTACGAGAAAGTTTTTCCTGAAGAGTGCCGGCCAAACAACTATGTCTTTGAAACCGACAAATAAATACAGAAAAAGTCAAATTTTATTAAATTTTCACAATGTAAAGTTTGACATAATTTTTCACTTCTTAAATCTACGTGATAAATTTTAGTTTAACATCAGGGGAGTGGTAAATTTAACGCTCTTTCGAATGGTATACTGAATTTTAAGTTTGCACTGCAGTTTGGTGGAGTTATGGCTGTTTAAAGAGTGTCAAGTCGAAAACGCAGAAAACATATTAAAAGTGAAAATACTCGAGAATAAGGCGACACAAAGAAAATGTCTAAGAGTAATTTTTTTTTGGAAATTTGTTATAGAATTGACACCCTGTGTATGTCCGAACTTATACATAGACATATTAAAAGTGAAAATACTCGAGAATAAGGCGACACAAAGAAAATGTCTAAGAGTAATTTTTTGTTGGAAATTTGTTATAGAATTGACACCCTGCGTATGTCCGAACTTATACATAGACACACTGTATAATTTTTAATACTTCTTGGTTTAACAGAAAAATCGGATTTCTCTTCTAGTCAATTTTTTATTAATCAGATGGGTACTATTATGTAAGATTTTGTTCATCAGACTTATCTGTTTACGTAGGTAAATAATTTACCTAAAGTCATCCCTCTGAATGTATATGTTTGCATTCGAAATTAAATTCGAATAATCTGGTAATTTGTTATCTAGTACTAGTAATATATTTTACGAAATACGAGCCCAAGGATATGAGTTTTCTTTGTAAACTTGAATAAACATTAAAATTTAGGAAGCAAATAAATCCATTCCGGGAAACATTCTAACACATTTCGACTTCAATGCTTCGAGCGTCGCGTCGCGATGTGTCTTACCACACGTTGAAATCACCTGGACTATATATGTAATTCACGATTTTACCGTATAATGGATAGATCAACATTTTACTTTAATATTGATTTCTATGTAAAGACCGAAGTTTCAGGTGATGCATTATAAAAATAGGTAGAGATAACGATTTATTTGATATCTTACTTTAATATTCATTTTAATATTTTTAGTATCCAGCTTCCAAGTAACCTGATTAATAAAATTCCTACTATATTATGATTCAACTATTCGTAATGCAGTATTTATACCATGCTTATAGAAAGGATTCAAACTTTTTGACAGAAAAGAATAAGAAATTTATCTATTCCTCTTCAAAATTCAGTCTTTTTATAGTATTTTGTAAAACATACTCGTAGGTCTAGAATACTTGATTGTTAACTTCCTCGTATATTAATAAACAGGACTGAAATAACAAAATACTTACAGCCCACTTTGATGGTACAAGTGTTGACAGCTTCGCCAGCCAAGTTCGTAGCTTTGCACATGTAAGTGCCAGAGTCTTCAGAGTATGTGTAAAGAATATCAAGTGCCACATAGCCGAAATCGTGAGTTTTGCGGAAGCGATGACCAGTTCTGACAGCGACTCCATTTACGAACCTATTTTCCAATCAAATCAACCAATTTACGTATGTGTATAATCATGAAGTAAACGATTAAGTCTAAAATAATCGATTTTAATTAATTACCATTCTATCTTCAGATTTGGATCGTTGATGGGTTCGACGCGGCATTCTAAATGTGCGTGTTCGCCTTCTTTTAAGTGATCCAGATTGTTGAGCGGTGTCAGGAAAACGGGCTTCTGGTGAACAACCTCTTTTTCAACCTCTTGTTTCACTTCTACGGTCTCTAGCTCGCGGATCTTCTGCAAACGCTGGGCGTCCAATGTGTCCAGACAAAGGCCTTGTTTCGCTGTTCAGGAAGAATACAAACCATTGAAATTCTCTTCGCTGACATCGAACTGCTATGGAATAATCATCGATCAACTTATGAATTTTGGTTATACCGAAAGGTTAGGGAATTCGATCGAGATTCGAGGCTGTCAACTGTTTGGTGAGACTTCGTAGTAATTATGAAAATAATGATAATTTTCATTGTTTTAATTATAAGAAAATTAAATTTTTTAAACTTTCGTGTACTTTCAATCTTGTTGTGAATGATAAACCAAATTCATTTAGGACCTAGGGATCCAGGAGAAATTATTTACTAAGTTTATCTATTTTATCCTACGGTTAAATTAATTTCTTTTAATTAACATCATTTCCATTTATACACAATTGTAAAATCAACAATTGTCGACATTTTGAGCAATCCTGTATAAGAATATATGTAAATATCCATAATCCATAAGATAGCTAATTTTTAAAGAAACTTTTACGTTACGATTAAAATTTAAAATGATTCTAATAATAATATATTAGGACTTATTGTACCAAGTTGATTATGTATAAAACAATGTTAAATATACTATTGTACTTTTTATAAGTTTATGATTACATAATTTCCATATAATTTGAAATAATATTTTTATTTCGTTTCAGGAAAAAGAATTAAAACTCTGTAACAGGGTCTTATCAACCCAGATGTACCTTAATTGTGAATTTACTAGAAGTCTCCTAGTAATAAAATATTCTAAATAAACTCTAAAATAAACTGTATCTAAAACGATTAAAAAATAAGTTATGGAATTAACTCGACAGAAAGAACATTCCTACCCTGAATCAATTCAGAAGTGAAGTTAATTATTTTGTGCATAATTCTATAATTATTCTGTGTATTTCGATAACTTACAGTCGACACTGATGACGCAGGTGGTGACAGCTTCGCCAACAGCGTTCCTCGCTTTGCACATATAGGTTCCCGAATCTTCAGGGTAAGCGTAGAGTATATCAAGAGCTACATAACCGAAATCGTAAGTGGTCTTGAACTTGTGGCCCTGTGGGATCGGTCTACCATCTCTGTACCACTCGACCACCATTGTGGGATCGTTGACAGGCGTCAAGGTCGCCTCAAGGTGAGCGCTCTTGCCCTCGGGCAGGTGCTCGATGTTCTTCAGCGGGCGTCCGAACTTCGGTTTCTCCGCGACGATCAAATCTTCCTGGTCCACGCGTTTGAACCGCGAATCGTCTTCGAGGTACTGTATTTTCTTCAGTGCATTTTCGTGTTGTGTCTCGCGAATGATGGAGGAACGGGCTGTAAGGTGACATTAATTAACATGACCAGGTCTAATCGACACAACATTGCACTTGGAGGACAGAAGGGCTTGGAATAAAAACGTACAACAGGCGTGAACGAGTAAAGATGATAAAAAACAACGAGAAAAACAACGTGGAACACCCAGAAAGGGGAAGGGTGGCCATTCATTTTCTGCGTATAATATATAAAAGCGGAACTGTGTTTCAAAGCAATGGGGAAGGGTACTAGAAGCAAGAAATACAAGGTTTCTAGGTAACACAAAATGCGTGATTACATCCACCTGCTGTCCCCGTGCGATTTCTTCGTGGAAGCTCAAAGAAGTATCGACTGTATGACGCTATGTAGCAACTGTTGCTAGGTTGAATACCTGCTGAATTATGGGAACTAGGAAACAGATTGTGCATATGCGTTTGTTATTGAGAAAGAACGACTATAAGTTCAAATTAAATATGTTGGAGTTTTGAACTTTACTTGTTTGAAAAACCAATTCAGTAAAGTTTGTTCTCTTCATATTTATGTTAAATAACGCCCATATATTTCTTGGACACTGAGAATTTTATGGACTTTTTACGTTTGCAAATACTAAGAACATCTATCTTATTAATAAAATGATTATTCACTTTTCCCTGTATATATGACTTTTTCATAACAAAGTCTGTTTTTCTTTAGTTGTGACATCAATTGAAATGGAATATTGTCATAAGTTAGATATTTTAAGATACAATTATACAAATAATATTATATACAGGAGGAACATTTTAATTTAAGGCTAATATTTGATTAAGAAATGAAGTAATGAAGGAAATTAGAATAACCAGTTTAAAATAATATCAAAAGAATCAATGCTATTTTTGAAATTGTATCCCGAAGATAATCAACAGTGACCTCCAATACAATCATTAGTTCCAGTTTCTATAAATTCACAGCCACTCAACCCAGCAATTACAATTATCCCGAATATTCCATTACCGATATCTCAAGATCTTGAAGCTACTTCTGTTTCGCTTCGCCATTATAGCATCTCCGTCGACGATCAACTCTTAAAATTGTCAAGAGAGCTACTATATTTCCGATCAATCGTGATATCAACAATTACCAGACTATCCCGGATATTCGATTACCGTCGTCCCAAACTTCCGAAGATACTTCTATCTCGCTTCTCGTGAGCGCGTCTCCCTCGACACGAAGCGCGCGAGAATTCTCGAGGGATCCTGCTGGATCGTTCATAGGGTGGTACTTACATTTCACGTCAAGATTGATCGAACTCTGCGCCGATCCCAGTCTATTGGTAGCCTGGCACGTGTAGGTGCCAGAGTCTTCGGCGTACACCGTCAGTACATCCAACGCAGCGAATCCAAAGTCGCAGGTGGTTCTGTACCTGTGACCGGTGGACAATGGTTTGCCGTTATGGAACCACTCCACCTTCATGTTTGGATCGGGATAGGGTTCGATGCGGCACTCATAGTGTGCGCTTTGGCCTTCGACCAGGCTGGTGGGTCCATTCAGTTGGACTGTGAAGGACGGTTTCTCCTTTACGACGAACTCTTCCTCCTCGCGGCGTTGGTACTTGCTGGTGTCCTCCAGGGCTTGGATCTTCGACAGCGAGCTCTCGTGCTGCGTCTCGAATTGCAGGGCTGCTTTGGCTGTGTCGGGGAAGAGTTTTTTTTTTGTCAGCGTGTATTTGTACTGGGTGGTGTGATTGATGATGAAACGTTTGACGAGGACCAGGAGACATTGCTCGATTCTCTTCTTCGGTGGATGTCTAATTTATTGTGTGCTCTTCGAGGGACACTCGAGAATGCTTGCACAGCGATGTTCATTTTTGATAAGGGATTGTATTTAACCCATTCACTGCAATTCACCGTAACCCATGCCAGACAAATTTAAGCAGTTTGCCTTGATGTGTAATCTAGTTTACTATGTTGATAATAAAAGTGATATTAAATTTGTTGTTTTAAAAAGAAAATTTATGATCTTCTTCTGCAATAATTCATAACTCAAAAGGCTATAAACTTATCCCTTGAGTAATTGAAATCAATTTGAGGTGAGGGACATCTCGTAGTTGGCAATGAATGGGTTAATAATATTTCTACAAAGAATCGTATGTGAAGTTACATCCTTTTAAAAATTGTATAGTGATGAGTAAATTCATTACCAGATTAGAAATATAATTCAGTATTAGGAAGCAATTTAAGTTTCTTTCATAAATGTATAATAATTATTTCACTTATATTTTTTATTTTAATAGATATTTTTCTGGATAAAATTAGAAATCGATTTTTATTAACGTAGGCTAGATTTGAAATTATTTGAATAATTATTGCACTATTAATTTCAATGATCGTTACAAATTTTGGTAAATAACATGCTAATTTGTTAACATATTTATTTTATATACTCGTTAAATAATGATTAGTATTCTTCGAATAAAATATTCTATATAATTGTAAAGTATAGAAAAAGATAATAAACATCGCCGTACGGATACAGTGAATATAAAAAGTGGACAATAGACGTAAACAAAACATTAGCATTTATCAAAATGTTCATCGTCAAGTATCTTGAAAATGGGGTATGAATATCGTGACGGTCAGAAGTTGTTGTAATGGTGATCGATTATAATATGTAAAAGATGAAGATGTAAGTGATTGTAGTTATGTAAAAAAAAAATGCTCGTTTCCATAGTTTGTAATTTTTGTTAACGATGGATGCGGATCGTTTGCACGAACGATCTAACTTCAAATACTTTTGTGCAATTACCGTGAATTTTGCGAAACGATGCAAAAGTTTAGCAAAAAAGTATAAAAAAATATTCTACTGAACACTGCGTCAAAAAAGGGAAAAAATCGCTGCACACAAAAAAAAAGTACAAAAATCTACGTATAAGCGCAGCTGTTTCTACATGTTGGTAGCTTGTCTATAGCTTACGAGAAGCGGTGCTGGAAATTGAAGCTCCACTTTCGAGATGATCTCGTGGTAAAAGGTTTACCAAACGCTGCTTCAGGGTTTTGTTTCTTAACAATGAAATAGACTTGTCAGAGTAGTCGTTGTGAATACTTCAACATCATCTTTCATATAATATTTAACTGTAATCACGTAGTTGATATTAGTAGTTGAGGCTTCCAGGTGTAAGTCGTGTCCTTTGGATAAGATACTTCAACGTTTTATTAGCATTGCAGAGCTAGCATCTTCAGGGATCAAATGACACATTGATATTGATATAGTACTCATGTCATTTGAGTCCTGAAGAAGCTACCTGGAGTGCTGGCAAACAGTTAGACAATTTTATTCAAAGGCTTTCACTCGAAAACTTTACTCATAGTCAACCATGAAGAACCCATATAAAAGCCTCAAATATCTGTAAATTTGTGCACTATAATAGTACTATCTGTGTTTAATTGAAAAACAAAATCCTGAAGCCTTCTTGAGAAAACGCTTTGTATGTATCATTTTTACTTACATTGGACGAAAAGCGTAGCTGACGTCACTGCTTCACCTAGTTCGTTCCTTGCACGGCAAGTGTAAGTACCTGAATCTTCGGGATTCACGTATTTCATGTTCAGAGCGACGTATCCAAAGTCGTGCATTGTCGTCACGCGATTGGCTGCAAAGAGGAGCGATTGGTCACAATCCAGGAGATAGAGACATTACAATTTCAGAGTTAAGAAGATGTGTTGCACTAAGAAAAATTTCTTAGGCAATGTAACATGATATTGTAATATTGTATATTAGTAATAATATACTAAAAATATACTAATAGTATATTAGTTTTTTCCTGTTTGGAGTTCCTTATTTAGTTTTCATATTCTAGAACTAATCTTTGTAATAGGGATACCATTCGAAAAATATGTAGATACTAATACATTCAAATGTTTATGCTTTTGTGTTATTCGTCTTAAATATAATACAACAGTTACATTATGCTACCGAAATATTTTAAATGGGATGTATGTGGTTTTTTGAATAGATAAATAAATGATGACAAAATAAACAGATAAGTATAATAAATAAATAACTCACAAGCTGAAATTGGAACTCCATTTCGCAACCATTCGACTTTCAGTTTGGAATCGCCTACGGGGATCACGCGAGCCTCGAAATGAGCCGCCTGGTTTTCAGCGACCTTGAGGTCCTTGATTGGCATCGTGAACACTGGTGCTTGAGTAACTGTCTCCTCCGTTGTGGTTTTGCGTTGGTATCGCGAGGTATCCTCCAGATAACGAAGTCGTTGAAGCGTTTCTTCGTTTTGAGTTTCCATGTAGATTGACTTTTTGGCTGTTTGAGAAAAATGAGCATTACGTATAGTATTAGAGAAAGGAGATATATGTTTATGGAGAAAATAAAGAATATATATGATAGAGAAGATGCACATATCATTAGAGAAATTAGAATCAACGAGTTTGATTTTTTATTCTTCAATTTCTTTTCTACGGCTTCGTTTTACTTCGTTTTTCTTTAGATTATCTTCTACTACCATCAAACTTTATTCCTAATATTTATCTTTGTTTTTATTTTACTGAATCAATTTTAATGAATCTTTCTTTTTAAAAAGATGTTCATGTTACTAGAAAATGTAGAATCAACGAGGCTGACTTTTTCATCTTGAGTTTTTTCCTGCACCTTCGTCTTACTACGTTTTTCTTGAAATTACCTTCAATTATCACTAAACTAAACAGAAGAACAATTAAAACAGAAACTCACAGTGGACAACTGCGGATGCAGACGTAATTGCTTCCCCAATAATATTCTTAGCGCGGCAGGTGTAGGTGCCAGAGTCCTCAGGATACGCGTACATGATGTCCAGGGCGACGAAACCGAAGCTGTTCGTCTCGACGAATCTGGATCCAGCCTTGACTGGCTTGTTGTTGTGGAACCATTCGACTTTCATCGTTGCGTCGGACACGGGGATCAGCCTGCACTCGAAGTGAGCTCTTTGACCCTCTTTGATCTCCACGTTGTTCAGAGAAGTGGTGAATATGGGTGCCTGGGTGGTCGTTTCCTCCACATCTTCTCGTCGCTGGTATTTGCTCCTGTCCTCGAGATAGTGGATCTGTTCGAGGCTGATCTCGTTCTTTGTGTCCATCAGAACTTGCGCAGTTGATCGACAGGTGAGCGTGCAGGACACCTCGTCGCTGCCGACGAGATTAACGGCACGGCAGGTGTACGTTCCAGAATCCTCGGCAATCAGGTCGATCACGTCCAGTGCGACGTATCCGAAGTCATGAATCGGACGGAATCGGTGTCCTGGGGAGCAGAGACGTTTTTCAAATTTTTTGTTGAGATATTCTCTACTTTGTATGTTAAGTCTTGACGCATATACATATGTATAATATATCAACGTTTTTTAGAGTAATTATATTGTATACAGTGGGTGTAGAATATATTCGTACACCGATCAATTTCTCCCGAAACTTTTCTGTGAAATTGTAGTTTCTTAACTTCTTTTATAATTAATGATATTTTACATACTCTCGGAAATCTCTAAGATAGATGTAGTCCAGACAACATTTGCTAGTTGATATAATTTGTGAAATTAACAAAAAAATGCGAAAAGTAGGTAAAAGTGTAGAAGCAATAAGTATTTGTACGATTCTTATGACGAACCATTTAAAGTAGAGTTTGTAACGTAAACACATTAGTTTATTGCTCCGTACGAATTAGAAAACATCAAATTTCCAGTAAAGTACTTTTAACAAACGGCTGTAATAGAGGAATGGAAAAAGATTCCACTTCGAATAACTAATAATTTAGTTAATTTAATGCTTAGAAGAGTTGCAATAATTATAAAATCAAAAGGAAATCCCACGAAGGAAATATTATATACTTATAAATTAATGTAAATTTCTTTTTTCTTTAATGAAGTTTTAAAAATTAAGCAGTGTGCGAATACTTATTGCTTAAATATTTCTATCGACTAATTGTTTTTTTCTTATTAATTTCGCAACTTACATAAATAACTATTTCTTTTGTACTCTATCTATCTTAGAGACTTCCGAGAATATGTAGAATGTCATTGTTTATAAAAAATAAGTTAATAAATCACAATTTTACATAGTTTTTTTGGAAATTGATCGGTGTACGAATACTTTCTACACTCACTGTATGTTTGTTAGGCTATGTCTTTATATTTTAATGGAGTAAATTTTGCAAGTAATACAGGGACAAATCTTTTGACTAACAATTTTATGATCTTTAAAATAGGTGTCTTGTTGTCTCTCGAGAGTAATACAGGTATTGTGTTATATATATTTATTATATTTATGTTTTCTTCAATTTTGAATATGTGTTCAATATTTGTTAGATTATGACCTTATATCCTTATACGATATATTTTGGACAAGCTTAAATCTTTTGAATAAAAATTCTATAATCTTTCAAATAGTTTCCTCACTTTAAATGAATTATCACGACTGTGATTAAAAGAAATAGAACCTCAATCGAATGCAAGTTCCCTAAATGCAACTTAAAATTCCTCCTACATTCTGTTAAAGTTAACAACCAACTAACAACAAATTTCCTAGAAATTCTAAGCAATCAGAAAAACTTCGTTTACCTATCGTAACTGGACGACCGTTCTTGAACCACTCGACCTTCAAATTGGAATCCGTTACCGGTTCCAATTTGCATTCAAAATGCGCGTGCTGTCCCTCGCGCAGGTTCTCCTGGTTCTTCGGAGCTGTGACGAATCTTGGTTTAACGTTGACCACCTCGTCGACCAGCTCGTGTCTCTTGTATCTCGATGCATCCTCTAAATACTGTATTCTCTCCAAGCCTTCGGGATGCTGGGACTCCAGGAGCAGGTCTTTCTTCGCGTGCACCCTCACCGAGCACGAGGTGACAGCCTCGCCTAATTGATTTCTCGCTTGGCAGGTGTAGACACCTGAGTCGTCGGGGTAGACACCGAGAATGTCGAGCGCTACGTAGTCGAATTCGTAGGATGGTCTGAATCTATGGCCAGTCTTCACTGGTCTACCGTTTACGAACCACTCGACCTTCATCGTGGCATCGCCGACAGGCTGAAGACGACACTCGAGGTGGACGTTGGTCAGCTCCACTGTTTCGATGTTGTGCAGAGCCCGGGTGAATTGGGGCGCCTGCATCACTGTCACTTCTTCTTGTTGAGTTTTGCGGTACCTGGGTGACAGAAATGAAGATTGTGTAAGTATTTTGCCAGGAGGAAGATGTTTTAGGGAAGCTAATTATTATTCTTGATTAAACTGCGAATTCTATGGAATAATGTTCTAAATAAGTACGACAAATATATTCTAAACATAATCGAAAGGTATATGCACTCATGCAAAACGAGATATTCAAGAATATATTCAGCATACATTATGTATATTTTCATTACATTTTGTATTTTAATAGATATTCTTCTGGATAAAATTAGAAATCGATTTTTATTAACGTAGACTAGAATTCAATTATTATTTGAATAATTATTGCACTATTAATTTCAATGATCATTACAAATTTTGGTAAATAACATACTAATTTGTTATCATATATAACTCATATAAAACAGAATATTAATATTATCGAATCAATTAATAGAATATATTCAACGTACATTACGTATATTTTTTATATGTTTTAAGTATTCATACTCTCACAATTCATTCATGACTAAAGGATAGCACATCTCACAACTTCCTTCATTAAAAACAAATCATCGAAGAATGTATAATATATCTATTTATTTAACATTTTGCTACGTTAAATTACCAACCTTCCAAAGTCTCAAACTAATATCCATTATAATGTATTTATTTGTATGAAATTCACTAGTCAACAAATTTACCTTAAATAGATGCATCTATTAATCTATATTCTTTTAATAAATACATCTATAAAGCAACATTTAAAATTCAGTGCTATCTACAAACCTGGACGAATCTTCCAGCATCTGGATCTGCTCGAGCGACTGCTCGTGTTGAGTTTCCGTGACGACGTCGGATCTTGCGATGACCCTAACGCAAGCTGACGTATGGGCAGTACCAAGATGGTTGGTGGCCCGGACAGTGTATTCTCCAGAGTCGAGGACAGTCGAGTGAACGATGTCCAAAGCGACGAAACCGAAATCGTAGTAAGTCCTGAATCTGGAGCCAACTGTAACCGGGCGGCCATTTTGGAACCATTCGACTCTCATCGTTGGGTCGCCCATTGGTTCCAAACGGCACTCTAAGTGTATATTCTTGCCCTCGCTCACTGGCTTAGGATCGCTCAGTGGCTGCACGAAAATGGGCTTGGATTTTGATATTTCTTCGATATGATATTGTGGCTCGACGAATTTCGATTCCTCGAGGCGTTGCGTCTTTTCGTAGGAGACGCGATGCATGCTGCTGGTATCGACGCTAGATCGTGCTAGAAGTCAAACAACAATTGTCGGTTTATTTAATGAATATTTTTGGAAAATGTGTAAATTTTTAGAGAAATTAAACAATTTGCTAGAATATCTAATTTACGGACTTCATTGAAGCCATCGCTATTTTTTTTGGAACATTTCTGTAGCTTATACGGTTTCATTCGTGGTCACATCTTACAATTAGAATTGTACAGTGGGTGCAGAAAGTATTCGTACACCGATCAATTTCCAAAGCAACTATGTGAAATTGTAATTTATTAACTTCTTTTTTTATAAACAATGATATTCTACATATTCTTGGAAATCTCTAAAATAGATACAGCACGAAAAGATTAGGTATTTTGTTTAAGTGAGAAATCAACAAGAAAAAACAATAAATCGATAGAAATACAGAAGCAATAAGTATTCGTACAAGTGTTAAAATTTTAAAACTTCATTTAAAAAAAAACGAAATTTACATTAATTTATAAATAATTAATACTTTGTGGTATTTCCTTTTGATTTTATAATTTCTGTAACTCTTCTAGGCATCAAATTAACTATCACAAATGTCGAAGTTATTTAGGGTGGGATCTTCTTTCATTCCTTTATTAGAGCATTTTTTAAGTCCTTTTTACTGGAAATTTAATTTTTTCTAATTCCTACGAGGCAATGAACTGATGTGCTTATGTTATAAAATCTACTGTAAATTGTTCGTCATAAGAACCGTGCGAATACTTATTGCTTCTATATGTCTACCAATTTTTCGTATTTTCTTGTTAATTTTGCAAATTATATAAACTAGTAATTATTGTTTGAACTGTATTCTAGAGATTTCCGAGAATATGTAGAAAATCATTAATTATAAAAAAAGGAATTAATAAACCACAATTTCACACAAAAGTTTTTTGAGAAATTGATGATTGTACAAATACATTCTACACCCACTGTAGATCTTTTATCAAAGTTCAAACACTTAACTAAATAATATAATAATACACTTTTGTTTATAGAATCAAATAATTTTATCCGTTAATGGGGAAGTAGAACAGTGCCAAAAGTAATAAAACAAGGAATGACAAAATTAAAAAACAATATAACTGTACTGAATTAATAATTCTAATACAATAATTGTAATTACGTAATTGTATTCAAGGATCAAGTAATGAACAAGAACTTACTTTCAACGACCATAGTGGCGGACAAACGTGCCTCCCCAAGGGCATTTCTCGCAACGACGGTGTAAGTGCCAGCGTCTTCAGGTCTGACTTGAAGAATATCGATAGCAACGTAACCAAAATCGTGGTAGGTCTGTATTCTGTTCGCGGCAGTAATTGGTTTTCCATTATGGTACCACTCGATGGTCATGGTCAAGTCGCTCTGAGGCTCGACGCGAGCCTCAAAGTGGGCACGTTGTCCTTCGACGATCTTGTTGGTACCTTTCAACGTGCCTAGGAATCGCGGCGCTTGAGTAACCTGGGTTTCTTCCTGTACTTGTCGCGAATATCTGCTGGAGTCTTCCAGCGTTTGAAATTTCTGAAGTCCGGTGGGGTGTTGACTGTCGTAGATAACGTCGTTCTTGCTAATCACGCTCATTTGAGCGGTGGTGTGCGCTTCGCCGGCGCGATTGTAAGCGCGACAGGTGTACACGCCGACGTCGTGAATAGTTACGTATTTGATGGTCAATGCTACGTAACCGAAGTTGAAGAAAGTCGTGATCCGTGAACCTGCGAGGAAACCGCGTTTCGTTAATTTGTGTTGGAACTGTCTTTTGATGTAGGAATTTAATAAAACATTCAGAAACAGGGATCGTTATTACGTGTTTCTACTATTATGCTATTCCATCAGTCTACCATTACATTATTCTAGTATTGTTTGTTCAGGTATATAACAATTAAGCCACATAAAAGACGATTATGAACAATTTAATGGGATAACGAAAACTTTAGAAAAGAAATGTTTCAAAATCGTTGGGTATACAAGGTAAAGAAAAAACCAAATGTAAGTATCGACAGATTCAAGACCAGGCTTGTAGCGAAAGGGTACTCACAGAAACAAGGGATAGACTATCATCGGACTTTCAGTCCGGTCGTGAAATTTGATTCTATTCGCGTGATTTTGTGTCTGGCGGCTGCAAGAAATATGTCTTTGCACCAATTTGATATCCAAACGGCTTGTCTCAACGGAAAACTTCAAGAAACGATTTACATGGATCAGCCTGAAGGTTATCAAAAGGGATCGTTTGATCTAAGTTATGTTCCTACCAAAGAGCAGCAAGCCGATATATTAACTAAACCGTTATTAAGACTTACATTAACAATTTTGTTACATACGTGATTTGCTAAATGTGCCTTGTACGCGCTCGTACGCACTCACACAGCTCCACATCACTGTATACGTACACGGAACTGCAAGGATTACGTATTGTCCTATTTTTTTCTCGACAATGCAAATTTGAGACCTCTCAATAGTCGTATCCGCTAGATAAATGTTCAAACTAGAGCGCAAGCTCCTATAGGTAGCCTACTTTTGCTTTTTTCTGTCATAATTAATAATATCTAGCAGTACTTCGCGATCAAAAGAAGCAATATGGTGGTGCGACAGCGCTGCCGCGTTGTCTGAACTAACGCTGCTGAAACATACGCTGCTGAATATTATTAATTATGACAGAAAAAAGCAAAAGTAGACTACCTATAGGAGCTTGCGCTCTAGTTTGAACATTTATCTAGCGGATACGACTATTGAGAGGTCTCAAATTTACATTGTCGAGACAAAAATAGGACAATACGGAACCCTTGCAGTTCCGTGTACGTATACAGTGATGTGGAGCTGTGTGAGTGCGTATGAGCGCATACAAGGCACGGGAGTCCACTCCCTTAAATCGTTCATAATAGTCAAATATTTTCAAAATGGAACATTTGTGAGAAAAATGGTTTAAAGAAATATTTTAGGATTTCAAAAATTCTATTGAACGATCGTGTCCGTTTGACCTTCAAAGGACCGGCTAAAGTCACGTCGAGGCCAACATGAGTTTTTTAATGGAACACCTCATTTTTTATCATGCACTGTAAAAGCTGGGTAGAGACCTTTTCAAAACACTAGTTTCAAACATTTTTTTTATTCGGGATAGATGGCGCTGTAATCGGAACTCAGGAAGTTCCTTGTGTGGTCCGTAAAGGGTCGCACACAAAATAAACATGAATAGCTATATGAATTAATCGAGCAAGAACAACCCCACTCGCGAGCTCGCGAAGCGAGCGAGCAACAATGAGCAGCTAGTTTCTTCTTATTCTATGCAGCATCCTACTATTTTAATTTTCTACTGCTTTCTATTCCATCATTTTTAAATTTAATGATCTTTGTTGTTTCACAGTTTTACAATTTTATGTTTCCATAATTATACAAATATAGGTTTATCGTGATTAAATCCAAAATAGTTGAAAGGTGTTGGAAGGTTTGCAGTGCAAAACGATAAACACCGTTAAGGTGAATAAAAATATATAATTATTTAATAAATTGAACACTGTGAAACTCTCTGTCACACGAACCACATGCTACGCGCCAATCCCCGTTACCTCTACGCACCCTCGATCAGCCACACTCAAACAAACGAACAAGGCGGGAAACATTCAGACGTTCTAACCCGCGAATGCTTGAATCTTATGCCGGAGTTATCATTAGGTTTATCAAAAGATGAGAATTGATTGACAACTGAATTTGTTATAAATGGTTTTGTTACGTAGACAGCAATACTCACTAGCTTCTACAGGGCGTCCATCTTTGAGCCACTCGACTCTCAAATCGGGATCGCCGACTGGTTCCAGACGTGCTTCGAAATGAGCGAAACCGCCTTCTCGTATGCTGTTCTGATCCTTGATAGGAGATTTGAATTCCGGTCGGCTGGTCGGTTCAGGCTGCTCCTGTACATACTTCTGGTGCATGGCCTGTTGATAGGCTTCCAATTCCTCGGCAGCCTCGATGTACCTCTGTTGCTCGGGGATTCCCAGTTCAGAAGTAACATTTGTGCGCGCTGTAACGAAAAAGTCATACATAATTAACATATTTGTCGGCATTTTTAAGAAAACGAACATAATTTTCTGACATCTATATTACCCTGAGCTCTTACCTCAAAGTAAAAGCAAATTAATATACTTCAGTTTTATGCACTTATGATACAAGTTATCATAATAAATATATGAGAAACACAACCAAAACGTATGTGCACTTATGTAAAACAAAATAACATTATTACTATTAATTGTAGAATATATTCAACATGAATTAAATATATTGTTTGTATGTTTTCCATATTACTGTTCACCAAAAATACATAAAGTCGAGTGATTATGTACAGAGATATTTACCAAAGACACGGAGAGTTGCGGAGCTGACGGCCTCTCCCAAGCGGTTCACAGCTCTGACAGTATAAGAACCGGCATCTTCAGCTCGTAGATGCAAAATATTGAGCGAGACGTATCCGAAGTTGAAGATGGTTGTGATTCTTGAGCCTGGAAGATTATTGTTATTAAATAAAACCATACCCAATCTACGTCTGGGTATAACTTAATAAAAGGTTTAGTTTCCTTTGCATAGATTTCCGTTACTAGTTACAGAATTTTCAGAATATAGACCAAAAATAATCTTCATTTCTAGATAAAAAAAGAAACAATGAACAAATAAATAAGAATTTTGTATAAATTTCAATTTGTATAATATACGGGCATACTCTAAATGATATCGTCATTTTTAATAAAAAAAATCAAATTTCTAGTACAGTAAAAATATTTTTGCATTCTATAAATAAAGAATACTCGTACACTACACGCATAAGCTAATTGAATACGTACATTCACTGAAATAAAATTTAAACGAATACTAATTTGTACGTCTCTAATGCTGTAACTCTTTAATGTAAATGAAAAGTGTAGACTATCCAAGGAAATACTTACAACAGGCCCAGACTATAAATGAAAATACTTACAAAATGTATAGACTACTGAGAAGGATACCCAGAAGAGACATAGATTACAGAGGAAGACACTTACAAGAGGTATAGACTAAAGAAGAAGATACTTACTAGCTGTGATTGGCCTACCATCCTTGTACCACTCCACTTTCATCGTGGGATCGCTAACAGGGGTCAGTTGCGCCTCGAAGTGCGCATTCCGACCTTCCTGCAGCTCTCCTAGATCCTGGAGCGGACGGATGAAGGCCGGCCGCTGTGGAGAGATCTCCTCCACACTCTCCTGCCTTTGGTACTTGCTGTAATCCTCGAGCTGTTGAATGTACTGAAGGCTGTCGGGGTGTTGGCTAGCCTGTTCGATTGTTGCGCGTGCTGAAACAGTAATTCATTTTGAATAATACCCGCTAATTAGAAACATCAATTTATTAGGACACTTCGAGTTATATCATCCCATAAGTTTGTTCCGCGATGAATTTATACTACATATGTTTCCTCGCACGTAGAAGATAAACGAAGTCTCTCGGTTCAGAGGTATCTCGGGTTTTAAATATTGTTTAAGTAAACTTACGTGTCACGCTGAGGGTAGCTCGAGATTCGGCGACTCCAGTCGAACTCACGACGCGACACAAGTACTCGCCGCTGTCCTGAAGAACGATGCTGATAAGGTCGAGTGAGATGAAGCCAAATCGGAAAATGGAAGTCGCTCGAGAACCTGTGATCACGATGCCAGTAAGAAATTTTACAATAAATTCATCCTCTATTGTGTCAATTTTATCTTATTTTTTAGAAAAGAAATTGTATAGCTTGGTTATTTATGTAGGATGTAAGCAAGATATGGGACTATTTATCAGGAAGAATTTTTTTTAAAAAAAAGGAATAGAAAAATCCTTTGCTATTTTGCAATCTGAATCTTCGTTGCTCTCTTTTTCTGTGTAATTCTGGTTAGGTATTTTATGCTATAAAGGGTTGAGAAATTCACGAAAATTAATTTTCTTGATGAAGAAGAATTAATTTGATTGATGAAGAGTTTTCTTATGATTCAACCTAAATTGTAGAATTTGTGCATGGTACTCACTCGCATCGAGAGCTCTTCCATTGACGTACCACTCTACCCTCATGGTGGGATCGCCCACCGGTTCGATTCTGGCCTCGAAGTGAATTCGTCCACCCTCGATCTGATGAACGTCCCTCAGTGGTATAATGAAACGTGGCGGTGGATAAATTCTGTCCTCCTCGGGTGGAGGCAAATATGGCTTGGCACGTTCTACGTGTCGCAAGTAAATCACTTCGGGGCCAGGCGCAGGTCTGCGAACATTCTCAATATTATCTCCATTCTATACGGATCAAATTATTTAATTCAAAACTTAATGAGAGCCCTACCGTCGTCCTTTCTCCAGTTTGCAATACAATAATATATTATCAAGTTAATATTCAGAAAAAATTTATTTATCTACTAAAGATAGGCAAAATTTTTTACTTAGATAAAAATATTCGAATGAAAAATCTATAATAAAAATTTTTAATTCGTTATGTTTATCTGTAAATTTGACCTAACTGAGATTGTTAATAGCTTCCTCTTATGAAAAATGTAGGAAAATGAATAAAATTTAAGAAACGTGTATATCAATGCCTAAATGAATAAATTGATTGATTGCATGAAGTAAATTATTTGAATTGTATTTGACTTTTATTGACCTTGAATGATCTTTAATAAATAATTGTAAGAGCCCTAAAATTTTATTACAAGGTTACCAAGGAAATATTTACTCATCTCTTTTCCATAGTCATCAGACTATGTTTCCCTATAAATCTGTCGAAATTAATCTCATAACAAGTCACACAAAACAGTCTTGTCTTAAATGCCAGTAGGTATGCAGGTAGTGACAAATAGCGACGTCTAATACAGTGGAAACTATGATGCATATAAGAGAGTAATGCAATAACGTCAACAACGTCTTCATACACGTTTAACAATACATTGATTATCGAAAAAAATATACATGTCGAATTGAGTAACCTCCTCCTTTTCGAAGTCAGTTAAACAAATATTTGAAATCGACTTATGTTTAATAATCATCAAGTGTGGCAGTTGTTCGAACAAAAGAAAATTTGATTCCATATGAAAGAGACTGCTTACTCAGGTTCGATGACTTTCGTCGGTCGGGGTAAATTCAGGCGTCTTGGTTCAGGGGCTGCTCCTTTCGGTGTCTCCACGAAGAGCCGTGCTCGGGTGGCCGTGGAGCCGGCTACGTTCTGCGCAGTGCATTGGTACCAGGCAGCATCCGACATTTTTGCGCAGGGTATGTCCAGAGTCGAAGCTCCGTTACCGTCCGTCATTATACGCACTTCCGGTCCAGGTGTTATTGGCACGCCGTCCTTATTTAGGTAAGACAGTAATTAGTAATGTCTTAGAAGACGATACAATTTTTATTCAAAATGTAGTCTAGAGAAAAATTCTATAAATCAATATTTTGATATATGTAAGTGAATAATAAATAAAGTATAAAGACGTTATCTAAACCGCAGCTACCTGTCATGTTTGGCGAGTGTACACCCTCGTTCATAAATATGTAGACACTTACTACCTTCAATGAATAATTAATATTCACCGTAAATTATCACTGTACAATGTTTGTTGCTAAATTCTATATTAGATGTGTATTTAACAACATTTAATAATATTAAAAGTTTTGAGTGCCACATTCAATTTTATAGTGAATCTATAAGGATCGTTTAGATGGAAAAGTTCATAAAGAATGCTCAATATATTTACGTCATTTATGGCGAAATATTACAAAATAAATGAGACAATATTACTTTGGTTACAATGAATATATTTATTGTTTTTTATCATTAATAATATGATTTAAAAAACGAACTATTAATAAAATATATTCCTTAATATTATATAAATATATCAAAACATAAATGATATAATTGATATTAATGGATTTGTAAATTTGATTAGATATTTACTTCTATTAAGGAAGCATCCACATACTTCTGAGTAGGGTGTATATATTCATTTGCATATTTTAAAACATTAAAATACTCCTATTAGCTTAGTTTAATTGTAATCACCTGTATTTTCATTTAAAGTAAACAAAAACGGTTATAATTAGAAAACAGAGTCCTAAAGTTCCTTTCTAAAGACCCTTTATAATCACTTATCACTATTTAGTACCAGCCAATAGCTATTCATCCCTTCTCTTTCATTCTAACTAATTTCTTGTACACTTGAACATAACACTTGGAAGAATACTCTAATATTTGAAAATTCTTTCTGCTGGTTTACCTTCTGCCAGGTGATACGGGGTACAGGGGTGCCAACGGCGCGCGCCATGAATACAACCGGTTCTCCTTCCTTCACGTTTGTCGTGGTGAAACGTTCCACGAATTTCGGCGCGACTACTTGTTCCTTCTCGATGACGTTCAGGTTACACTGGAACGACGTTTCGCCAGCTTTGTTTCTCGCGACGCACGTCACGACGCCAGCGTCCGCGCGGCTCACATTGGTAATCATCAGAGAGTTGTTCCCGGACTCGTTGACGAGGATCTTGTGGGTCAAGTCGTTGGCAACTTGTTGACCGTTGATGTACCATGTCACTTCAGGATACGGACGGCCGGTTACACGACAATCAAACCTAAATAAAACATTTGCACAGGTACAAATATTTATATGCATTCATTCATTGGCGGATATTAAAGGCATTGGTGCTAACACCGATTATTAGACTGTTTATGTAAATTCATATTTTTATGGGTTTAGATGGTAAATTGAAATTTCAAGAAAAGTATGTGTTATTTTTTAAAGAGTGCAATATGCATTTTATTATTGATTTTTTTACGTATGTTTCCACTCGGCTGCATACTTATATACAGGGTGTCTACGTATAAGTCCGGGCATACGCAGGGTGTCAATTCTACAACAAATTTCCAACAAAAAATTGCTCTTAGACATTTTCTTTGTGTCGCCCTATTCTCGAGTATTCCAACTTTTAATATTTTTTATGCGTTTGCAACTTGACACTCTTTAAACGGTCATAACTTCACCAAATTACAGTACAAACTTAAAAGTAAGAATACCATTCGAAAGAGCGTTAAATTTTTCAACTCCCTGATGCCAAACCAAAATTTATCACGTAGATTTAACAAGTGAAAAATTAGGTTAAACTTTATATTGTGAAAATTTCAAAAAATTTGACTTCTTCTGTATTCGTTTTTCGGTTTCAATAACATAGTTGTTTGGCGGGCACTCTTCGGGAGAAACTTCCACGAAGTCTCAGCTTTTGAACTGTATTGTCAAAAAAAATTGTACAGTGAAATTTTCGGAAGAAAATTACGTTTACATGCAGAAAAGCGTAGGTTTTTAGCTGAAAATCGATATTTTTCAACGAAAATCGACTTGTCACTTTAAAATTAATTTGACATCGGGTTTGATGTATTTTTTAGTGACACTCCCGGGCCTCTCCAATTATGAAAAAAAAAAACGATTTTTTGACACCTCAAGCCTCTTCCAGCAGTGTGTAGAGCCTGAGTGCGAGGTGAATAATAATTGTTTTTGAACATATATTCATAGATTTTTTGTTATTAGACAATATTTAATCAAAATCAACCTCGGTGTACCGATAAATGATATGAAGATTGGAACACGATCGATTTCACACAGCAAAAATCGATGTTTTCGACGCAGGAGAACCGATAAGTTTTGATTTAGGAGACAGGCATTATGAACGCTTTTCTGGATTCAAACGTCATTTTCTCCCAAAAATACCACCGTACAATTATTTTGACAATACCGTTCAAAAACTGAGACTTCGAGGAAGTTTTTCCTGAAGAGTGCCGGGCAAACAACTATGTCTTTGAAACCGAAAAATGAATACAGAAGAAGTCAAATTTTTAAAAATTTTCACAATGTAAAGTTTGACCTAATTCTTCGCGAATTCAATTTTCGTAATAAATTTTGGTTTCGTATCAGGAAGTTGAAAAATTTGACGCTCTTTCGAGTGGTATACTTAGTTTTAAGTTCGCAGTGTAATTTGGTAGAATTATGGCCGTTTAAAGAGTGCCAAGTCGAAAACACAGAAAAAATATTAAAAGTGAAAATTCTCGAGAATGAGGCGACACAAAGAGTCTAAGAGTAATTTTTTGTTGGAAATTTGTTATATGTAGAATTGACACCCTGCGTATGTCCGATCTTATACGTAGACACCTTGTATATATTTTTATCTTGACATAAATGTATAAGTTATTGGTGGATATGTTTGCGAATAATTGTTAATTTGATCCATAATCATAAGTCTGATGAAATTAGTTGGCAAAGAGATATCAAATAAAAAATTTGCCCGCTGTTAAAAGCGACATATTAAATATTGTTAGCTGGTTTATTACATTATTTGTAGTTCTAAGGATGACGAGTATGATTTACCTGGTCATTTTTCCTTCGGTAGCTTCACGATCGGTGCAGGTGCGTACGAAATTCGGTGGGAGAACCTTGCCAGAGTCTGACTCGCCGGTCGATTCTACTTGTTGAGTCTTGACTGCCTCCTTCTGGTAGGTTTGGTAAGCCTGGTCTACTTGATCACCGCTGGATTCGATCGCCAGGTACGCCGAGCTAACGGTGCAACCCTGAGGATTCTCCGACAGCAAGGTGTAATGGCCGCTGTCTTCTGGTAAAGCCGTCCTGATCCTCATGCTTGCTTGCTGGTTCGAATAGCTCATCTCCACGCGTTGCGACTCACGGATCCTTTGGCCGTTTTTGAACCAAGTTAACTTGAAATTGAAAGAAAATTTACGGTCAAAATGCATCCAACATTTTTTGCACCACTCTCTGTTGAGGGTACGACGAGAATATACGGGTTTCGTATGACAAAGGAACGAGGATTGACTTTTACAATAACTTTAATTTCGTCTAGAATAATACACGTGTCGCTTCCGAGATTTAGAATCGTACTGACCGTTTAAAATGACCGACAAACACGCCGATTCGAGCGATAACGGGCAGAGCCATAGAAAAAAGGACGATGCAGACGACGCGAATAATTACACAAATTAAATACATACAGTCAGTGTAGTAAGTATTCGTGTATGAACAAATTGAAAATAAAAATTTATATATTTGTTTTATTAATAAATTTTAGGGGAAGAAATAATTAACCAACATTCCTACGTACTTTTAGAGCAGATTTTGCGTAAATTAAAGTTTACTACTTTTAATATATACCTCTTATTTCTTTTCTTATTAGTTTTATTTTAAATTGGTTGCTATACGAATACTTCTTACACTGACTGTATGTTTATTAGACAGATCCGTTTCCGTTACCGTTCGAATGTTTGTTTTCGTGCAAAGAAACGGAGAGGTAAGAGATGAGTGTCGAGGTAATCGGCCGTGGCATACGGTAATTTAAACGGGGCATTTAAATTTAGATATTTCCGAAGCAATCTCAAACATTCCAATTCAATTATTAACCCTTTAACCTATCACAACGCGTGAGGTTCGTGGTACAGAATTTGAGTCGAACATGAAAAACACGAGTCAGACGCGTCATATGAAAGAGCGCAAGGAATTTTATACCTGATTATGGCGTTGACCAACCTACAGTAAATCGTAGGTCAATTGGTTAAAGTAATTTTGATTATGAGGAACATAGTTGGTATGATGTTAAACTTGTTTATGTCGCGCAGGAAAATCTAATCATCTTGGCACATTTCGATTATTTTGTAGGTTGTTCATTATATCAAGAAAATGTATGGATTATAGTTCTTTCTTAGTTCTCAAGAAACAATTTTGTGGACAGAATATAGGCTTTATTAAGAGATTCAGTCGTTCGCTGTATCGATATCTTGTATCGTTCTTTAGAAATGTTTTCTAGAATCACCATGTGTTTCGATCATTATAATATAGTTAAACAAACATTCTTTATATTAATCCGTTTCATAATTTTTTTCACTAACTTTATAATATAAGATAAACTGTCACTTATGTCTAGTAAAGAATTGAACTTCAATTTTTGTTACACACTTCACTAAATGTTTAGTAAAATTCGAGCACAATATTTCTATCTATAAAGGGATTTTTGTCTCGATTTATTTTACATAATTTTACTTTAATATTTAACCCTTTGCACTCGAGAGGTGACTTTCAGCCACCTTTAGGTTTGACGCAGTAAATCTACCAACAATAATGTTTGTTTAGGTTTCATTTCTTTGGAACTCGAAGTGTCGATAAAATGATAGTTAGCGAGGTAAAGGTGGCCTGATTAACCTTAGCATTTGTGGCAATAGAATGCTAAGAAAGCATCTCGAGTTGTTAGAAGATACCAGAAAGAAAGTGCAAAGGGTTAATAAGTATATAAATCATTTTATTTCATATGAAAACAAACAAGATTTACGAAATAACTCTAAAAAATAGTCTGGAGTGCAATCACCTAATTATGTTCAATACTCTGCACTTATATTCCTCCTCTGTTAACTGCAGACATTTTGCTTCTTAATGAAAACAGTAACTTTGGGAATCAATTTGATCGAGACACGTGTAAGGAAATCGACTGTTCTCAGAGAGCATCGGTGAATAAGTAAATGTAAAACGACTACTTACTCTCGGTTTCGGGTTGCCAGATAGTTTAGCTGTGAAAACGGCGTCGGATCCCTCGACGAGTTTCGAGTTTCTGGGCTTCTGCACGATTTGCGGAGGTGCAACCGGTCCCAGGTTACGATCTACCACCGTCGAAATCTGCACGTCCGATTCGCCCACGAAGCGGCGTGTAATCGACTCTCGAAATTCAGTTTCCCGCAGCAGTCTGTATTCGAAGGTGTCGACCTGTAAATCCATCGAATTACTTCGTCGATTTATATAACACTTCAACAAAGCTGAGAAAACTTCGACATCGAAGTTGAGCAATCTGCAGCCTTTTCGAAAATCAAACGTAGCCTTTTGTTTATTTGTCAGTAAATACTAAATTTGAAAAATGTTGTGGAACTTTTGTTGTAATAAATATAAAGAATATTCTATTTGTAGACATTTTTGATCTCCTACATGTTATAAAAAATGTATTGCATTTGAATTAATGTTAGAAAGTTCTCCAACTCCAAAGTGAATTGAAGAGTACTTTCACGAAGAAATTGAGAAATATGAAACCTTGAAATCTTCGATGCTGGTTGAGGATCCATTCATGTAACTTCGTTTGTCAATCGTTTGCTGATAGCTGCGCTGCTGGAAGCTTTGAGTTCCGGTTTGGCTCTTTTGTTCGGTCGATTGGAAAGTCTGCGCGTATTCCTTCCTGTAACCACCTGTCTGCTGCTGCGGAGGTCCGAATCCTTCTGGCTGAATGTAAACCGAGCAGATTGCTTCACCTGAACACACAGAAAATGTCATCAGTTTAAATTCATCTTACATGTAGCATGTTACATCTCTTTTAAAGGTTCATAAGTGATCTTTTAATTGTATCTTTAAAGATATGTGGTAATTATTTCTTAAATTATTCCTTAAAGACAAATAGTAATCATTCGCTGAATTATGCCTTAAGTCATATAGCAAATATACCTTAAATTGTAACCTAAAGGGAAATGATTTTTTTGTAAATGATCTTTCTGTTATTTCTTTATATTTTATAAAATCGAACAGTCATTTTCAAATAGAATATTCCAAAGTAGAGAAGACTATTTTCAAAGTAGATACTTTCATGTCCAATATATAAAAGTAGACGAGAATATTTTCTGTGAATCTTACCATACTGATTTTTGGCACTACACGTATATTCGCCCTCATCTCCAGGGCCAATCTGATTGATCTGAAGAGTAACTGCTCCGGTTTTCTCGTCGTACGACATCCGAATTTTCCATGACTCCAGTAACGGTGCACCTTTGTGCGTCCAAGAAACGGTGGGTTTCGGGTTTCCTCTGACACGTCCTTCGAAAATTGCGTTTCCACCCTGCGCGAATCTGGCATTCTTGAAAATCTGTTCGAAGACCGGCGGCGATGGATCGCCAGGTCTGCCAGTAAAACTGTGCAAAAATTACCAATTTTCAAAACCAATGATATATTTAAAAACAACGATTTTTAAATAATTTTTAAATCCAAATACGAAAACAAACGTATATGTATAACTCGTGATTACGTCTGTATAGAGCTAAATCTATAATTATGATATGCATATTAATATCGATATTCGGTATATTCATTATATTCGTAACATTAAATGTATTTATTTATAATATTAATATTTCTTCTGTATAGTTCAATTAAATTTACAATTATTGATGTGTGACATTTTTACGTTAGGACTACTTAAGAACGCTACTAAGGATTTAACACTCGATTAATTGAAAACTGTGTTAAGAATTTATCGAACCGAAGGCAAATATTTTTTTAAGTAAGTTGTATATTGAAATCAGAATACTCACGCTGGTACCGTGGGCGTTGACTGCATTACGATCTCCCCTTGAACTGCAATAAGAAAAAAACAGTATATTACTTCAATATTCCAACGATAGTCAATACATAAATCAACAAATAAGAAGAATGAATATTTTTGAGCACCATTAGTCAACGAATCTATCCAAAAGAAACTTTAAGAAAAGAGCTCTAGAATTAGAGGAAATATGTCTGCCTATAATGTTTCGCCTAATACGCGTTCATAGAAGTTTTTTTCTACTCTTGAAACATATACTTCAATTTACACAAATGACGTAATTTCATTTATTTGTGTGAGCAATTTTCACACAAGTATTTATTATTCAATATGCTCCTCTTCCGATGTAACCATAAAGTTATACAATACCATAAATATTAATAAAATTACAATGATATTATTAATTTCTGTAGACAAATCAAAGTAATGTAATTCAATGATATCGTTGTAATTCTATAGATTCATAAAGTTTTCTTTTTTTTTTTCAGAATAAAAAACAGTCTTTGGCTATATCTCACCGATGTTTCAATTATTTATCCTTCTATACAACACCTTTTATTATATTTATCGTCTTTATTCAAACAAAACCTGCGACATTATAAATGTAAAGTAAATATGTACACCGTACCTATGTGCACAATAAAAGCACTTAGTAATAATTTCATTCTCGTTTGGACGTCATTCGAATGAAAGAAAAATTCGCGTTTGTGCTTTCGCCTGATTCTTTCCAAGCTCGTTACTTTTATTTCTGGACGCGCGTCCATCTTCGAGCTGCATTTCCTCTCATTCCTCTTAACTGGACTAGAACGAATCGAGGAAACGAACCGTTGACGCCGTTTGTTTCTCTGTCGTCGTCACGCGCCACGGCGACCACGCTTATTTGTACAAGCTTATCTACCCCTGGACGCGGAGCAATTAAGTCAATTCGCTAATTAAACACGGAGGCGTCGTGTAAAGTACTGATGATCCATGGGTTTTTTTTTTATGTTGATTTTGATACCCGCATTTTTGCAATTATTCATTCCGTGATTACACACACGCTTTATACTTTCGTGGAATTAGAAGATAAAACAGAATTTTGAAGCTCGAATTAAAAGAGAAATAAATAAAGAATATTTTTTCATTCATTTATAATTAATTATCTATATCGCAACGGAGTCAAATATTTTTAATTCACAATATATTTAAAGAAAACTAAAACAATTTCAAATCTGGAGTTGATACAAATATAAATGTGCAAAATTATGCCCACTTTAAACATTTAGTGTCATTTTTAGTTAAAAGGTGATCTCTCAATTGTTTCAAATTAATGAGGGTAAATGTTTCACAATATTCATCAGATGCGTTAATTCTCCATGCAAGACATTAATATCAGTACCATCAGTCCAAATATTCATGAAACTGGTGACTCAGTTGTCATATTCTCTTAGAGACGTTTAATTCTGCCAGCAGCTAATACAGTACTTCGAATAAATATGTTATCCTACGAATTAATTCTACTTACAATTCTCAATACCCTGGCCAAAAAAAATAATTCGCAAATATCGTAAGATAACACGTTCAAACCGATATCGAAATGAGCAGCCGACAGTTTGAACACCTTTTATAAATAAATGCCCCTTTCACAAGCTACTACTATTTATAAGAAAGATCTGCTGCATCTGTTCCTTATTACGAGCTCTGCCAGCCAATTAATTCGTAACTGGAACACCCGTAAAAACATACGCGTCCACAAGTCCTTGTTACAATTTTGATTTTTACAAATTTATTTCACTAGACAATTGTCGCTGAAAATTTCAAATGTTAAACGTTCTATATTTCTTAAATAAATTCGAAACCAGCAAAATGATGACTTAACCCTCCAACCTAATTTTACGTGAAAAATATTATACTTCAATTTCAACAAAATATCTGACAGCAAATCTAATCGTGATGGATTTGGCGTCGGAATGACCCATAAGTCAAAGGCGAGGGAATCATCAACACCTTCTCCGCTTTATTATTTTCATTTGGACACGAAAATAAAGGACCTGTCTGTATTGAGTAATCCTAGTCGTTGGTTTTTTTTGGAGATCGCGTCAACGAGTCTCATTTCGAAAAATTTCAAACTAGTGTCCTCCAAATTACGAGAAATTAATTGTCAGGAGCAGCAGGGGAGCGCAGTAAAAATAAACTTCCGATGGCAATCTCGGTACACTCTGCTAAAACCACTTTCGTTATCACGGTTAAGCGGCTAAGTGGATTCTAGAAGCAATGACTCTATCGCTCAGAAATCCCAAGTGCGTTCACACGCGATGCACCAACTATGTCAGCGTTTCCCAAAACATTTTTAGTCTTGAAATATATTTAATATCGTAATATGAACGTTTTCTAAAGTGGACTTTAGGATTTTATTACGCCTGTAGTTGTGGTGGACACTTCAATATTATCGTTCAGGGTTAATTGTAATTACGTGTACTTTTATATCTAATTTCAAACTGATCACTCACTCTTCTAATTTTGGAATACATTTTAAAAATAATTCTTGGGATCTATTTGAGTACTTATCAGTCATTATTCTCTTTCCAAGGATTTATTCAGAAGAGACTCGAAATTACTCAAATTTATAATCCATATAATAAATGAATGTGTCTTTGGGAATATTTTAAGAATATCACATGAAAAACTTGTTTGAATTCATAGTAAATACAACATCTAGTAAAGAAACTTCAATTAATGATTGTCCAAGTAGATGTATATTAATAATCTACGAATAAAGGAATATAAAAAGTAACAACATACATATATAGCAATAACAACACGAAAGTAGCGCACTACATAAGCTCACCAGTTTATATATAAAGAAAGAACAATGTTTGACCATGTAATAAATTTTCAACTTCAACTTTAGAACGTCCAAAAATCTCAAATCGCGTGGGAGTTTCCGCCCGTCGGTTCAAATTGAGTGTCCCACGAATTCTTCAGTGTCATTGTGATCGATTAGCTCGTAATCTGTATTCATCCGTTTACCTACACATGGAAGGTTAATAATACTGCAGATTATTCAAATCTTTTCTATCCCAGATACTTCTTACCGATGCTTAATCACGCTCATTCGCTTGGAATTGATTAATGACGGAATGTAGGCTTCAAGATTGAACGAAGGTATCTAATATTAGTCTCCAGATGGAATTATGAATGACCAATATACGTGGCGGGTTCAACGTCTGCGAGTGGAAAACGTATGATAATAAGCTAACGGCGAGGAAAATGTAGGCTTAGCGAGAAATATAGCTGTTGGATTGAGAAGGCTCGAGACGTAAAACACTTACATGGACAGGATATTTTGGTACTACAGATATATACCTAACTGGTTAGCGAGTGAAAGTATCTTAACAAACAGACTTAATTCATGATTATAGAGACCCTTTTGTTCTGTACGTTCTGAAGCTCGATGTTGTTCGTTGAGACTGCTCCTTTCATCTCATTAATTGTTGATTGTTTTAACATCGATCTTGTTCAGAATATAATTAGCAGACTGTAAATGTTTATGCATTTGTGAAAAGGATCATGTGAGGAGATATAGGATAAGGTACACAAATGCATAATGTATAAAATATGAATTATTATGTACGTATTGTACTGCTTGGAATATAAGACAAGCTTTCTGTTAAGTTTCAATTTTTTTGCTATATTCGTGAAGATATGAATATACATGAACATTGCGAAAAAAGGATATTTCCTTAAAGTTTCGTGTTCAATCTAGCAGGAAAACCTGTGACGTAAACGATAATGACTTTGACAATTTGAAATTTGTTTTAATATAAATATTTTGGTAGAAATATTTTAGAGATGTCAACAGATTTCAACCCCTATAACTATCTCAGTTTCTCTATGCCAACTCAACCCTTTTGTAATTACATTCCTAACTTATTAACCCTTTGCAGACGGATACTGGCAAATCACCTAATTTAATTCACAGTTGCAAGGGTATCATGGAGCCGCGCACGTACGTCTGTCCTAAAGAATCAAGAAGAAGAGAGTCGAGGTATTATTGTGCTATTTGTTCGTCTAAGCCGATCTTGCACATAGGTGACTGTTTCGAATGATATTACACAATACACAAATATAAAACGGTTATATAAACACAACCAAGTTTGTTTTGTAGTTCGTTTATAATTTTATTGCACTTTATGAAAATGTTTTTCCGTATTAAACGAAGCTTTAACTTTTAACTACTGTGTATATGTTTTTTTGCTGCGTGCTGCAATACCTCTCGTCCACCGCGACGCACGCTCGTCGAGTGGCTCCGACCACAAAGGGTTAAACTATCAGAAAATTCGGTTTTTGTTAACCGGTCAAATTAGGGAAGCCCCTTAAAATAATTAAAAACAGAGCTCACAAAGTCAAGTACATTTACTTCTACGGCTAAAAGGATTGAAGTGTTGAGGCGATAAACGACACCGTCGAGCCTCGATCACAAGGTGCAGGTCTCCAAGGCTTGTGGGCTAGAAGGTCACCGCGGGGTACGTCGTCGCGACTACCTGGTGCAATAAAAAGAGTGAAATATAGCGTCGAGGCGAAAAAGAGATCGTTACCCATTCTCACTTCGGATAGAGACGGGGGCGGGTGTCAGGGAAAAGGATGTAACGTGGTCGGATAACTACGGGATCCTATTTTTGCATCCAGATGGGGATCGCGTTACCGTGGGCCATTTTAGGAGCAACTATCTTTGCGCGGCGCCCAGCGCCGCGACGCGACGCGTCTACGCCGACCGGACTACATGCACCTCGACCAATCGCCTGGGACGTTACGCAAAGCCAGTCACTGACCAAAATAAAACAGCTCCTAACGCTGTTTCCCTTCTCCCACCCCCTTCGTGCAACCGTTCTTTCACTGTTTCTAGCGAACGTGCCCGTGTCCTATTGGGAAAATATTTGGAAATGTTTATTGCAAACGCGACGCGTAACCATAATCTCGAAAGAGAGACTCGGAGAATTTTCGCGGTTTCTTGAAAGATCTTTGTCATTGTCCAACAGGATCGTTTCTTGGTCCA